CCAGCTACACGAGAGGAGAAAGAAGAGGAGGCAAAAGTGTCTAATTCTCGAGTCGAGTAGGACAAGAAAGTCTGAGTAAACGAGACCTGTCATGTTCTCCGTTCATTAGACAAGATCAGCAAATGCATGAAAATGTCGTTATTTTTATTATTTTTCTCTCTCCAATTTAGGGAAATTTCCTCTCTCATTTTCATTTCTCTCTGGTTATCTCTTATTCTAATGTATGTACATATTTCATCCTGGAAATTAGATCACGATGCTAAAAAAATCTAATGAAAATCTGTGGTAATTCAACCTCCTAAAGTTTACTTAGCTAAATACAAATCCCAAATTTTGTACGTAAATGAATTTCCTTTTCTAGTTAGTATTAGAAATTATTTCGTAACCATATTTTAACCGAGAAAGTAATTTCGTTCTATTTTTAACCCCTAAGCTGAGGAAAAATGGTTCTTAGAATCACCTCGACGCCGCCATAATTATTGTCCTTTATTCCAATTAGGTTACCAACCAGGCAGATCTTCCCCTACTTTCGCCACAAACTGTGTTAAAGGGACGGAAATGTGACGACGAGATATACCCGTTGAATTATATTACCCTAGATTACACAGCTGCAATTTATTACATTGCATAAATAACCAGCTCTTTGCTTAAGCAGTGTTTCCCCCTTATTTGCACTTCTGCCATCACCACCACCAAGAAACCAGGCAAACCCTACATTTGCTTTCGTAAGATACGACTTTCTTCATTTGTGACAGGATTTCACATTTATGTAGCCGACGCTGTTTAACTTGTCACCTCATTTAACGTCACCCATCAGGAAACCGACACGACAAGGAAACATGGCGGATGAAGGATGGATAGAATTGAATCCGATAATACTACACATTTTCTGCCTCGAATTACATGCAGTCCTCTGCACTTTCCCCACCCCGAGAGACTTTCCAATGAATAAATTAATGATTTTGATGCAAATTTTTGCATTATTATTTAAATTTACAAGACAGAAGCGTATTCAATTACGTAATGAAAATGGATATGTTGAAAGGGAGTAGGAAAGACGAGAGAAATTGGGTAAGTGCACTTTATCAAATCAATCTTGAGTAGTACAAGTTTCTCTTTGAGAGAAAAATGAGTGGCTTTTCAGCATTTTTTTGTATGTATAACGAATGTAACATCATACTAGAATCTGTCATGTAGTACGAGAAATAATACACTCTCACAAATCGCTTCAGGCTGACAGACGACAGGAGGAGGCAGAAAAAAATTGTGACTTTCTCCTTCCAGGACATTTCCTTTCAGCAGATTTGTAAAATTTTGCGATTCGACAACTCATTTTATCTCTGTCTCGTTGCAAACATGTGCCTAGAAATCGGGGTCATTTTGAGATTCATAACTGAGATGAATGATATCCTTATACAGATAAGAATAATATGCAAAGTCGGCAATCACTTTCACCACCATTGTCAGGAAGGAAAAGAAAGATTTCACTTCTCATTTCCGCTCTTTCTCTGTCGCTATTCTTTTCCAGGGGAGATAAATTTGTGCGAAATTCCGTCTCATTTCCACCCACTCCCACCACCACCACCTATTTACTACAGGTCGACGTACGTAAACAACCACTCACAAATGTGCAGCAGGCAGAATCCTGAACAATAATTTATATAATTTCTCTCTCGAAATGAAAGGATCAAGCAGCCGCGTTCACACCGAAATATCAAGGCTACACTTAACTTAATAGGGCAACAATTCTATAGAATTTGAGTCAACGTCGTATCAAGTATCTAATCGGAATCCTTCCCTCCCTCCCTTTCCTTTCCTTCTCTGTATTCTATCCCAAATCTGTTTTTCTCTTCTTCTTTTGTACCAAAATGTGATGGATTTTGAACGGATGAAAACACCAAGACAATCAAGATGCCAAATTCAAATCCGCTTTTGTAAAAGATGAAAGGGTTTCCTGTAGAGTTTCCCAAGTCCGGTGGAGAGACCTGTTTAAGGCATAAAATAGAGCATGACTAACGCCCCATTGTTCCCTCCTCGTATTCCGTTGTTTAGCTGGGCTCTGGAGATATTTAAGGAGTGGAAATTATCACTAAATTTCAATGTTATGCAAATATATCCATATAATGATGCACACATTTTGCTCATTGATTTTGGAAATGTACACACCATTATTTGCTTAGGTAGCCAACCAGCCAGTTAGTTAAGTTATTATAACGAGAGTCACTGCAAAGTGCCTGCTGGCTGGCGAATGGATGGATGGAATGTGCGAAACCAGAAAATATTGATCCAACCAACCAAGCAAAACTATGTAGCTACATATCCAGTAGCACCAGCCATAACATAAAAGTAGTGGGTGCAAGGCCTCCATTTAGAACTACACCCTCTAGTCATACTTGGTTTTGCTTTTACTACGTACATGATACACATAAACATGGCATTTTCCCTATAACTTCGACCACGCGGATATATACATGCTTTTCCACTAATGTTATTGCACTAAATAACGATATACGTCCTGGGAAGAAAGCAGGGAGCAGTTTAATTCTTTGTGCTTGCATTTTGTGTAACTGCGAATTAACTGGAGATGCAGATGGCCCTCCTGTCCGTCCGTTGAAAGAGGACGAGTTAATTTTACAGAGGAGACACATGTGGTGATTTAATTAAAGCAGAGCTCATGGTGGGATGCGTATGGATTTGCTTTTACGGAGTAATTCCAAGCACAATATCATCCATCCACAAAGAGATCGACTCTTTAGTAGGACAATGATACAAAATTGCTACGTTGGTTGGTTGGTGGGTCGTCTCTCCTCTTGTGAGTAAATTGGTTTGTTTTGAGCAGTAATAAAAGCGGGTTAAATTTTCTATTCAGTCCGACATAATCAAATGAAAGAGACCAAAGCTACGGGGACAAGGGAAGGAAAATATTTATTAGGAAAACACAAGAACAAAGGGTTCCTCCTCAGGGGGTAAAATATAAAAGTTTGTCATCAATATCGTCTTCCAAGAAGAAGAAGGAAAGTTTGGAAGAAAATGTTTAATGGAGATATTGAAGCGTAATATTTTTATTTATTTAGAATAAAGCCTATTTTTTATGACCGGGTAGAAAATGAGAATACCGTAAAAATCGACAACTTTCTCTCCCTGCATCTTTTGGACCACACCTTTCACCGTGTACTTAATTTAGCTGTAGGTATGGATGTAGACCTTATTAAAAACACCACACACACAGGAGCAGCAGCCGTTTTACTTTTATTACGTCTGCCCGATTGTGTGTGTTGATGGAAGGAAGAGATAAATAAACACACACCAAGCAGCCAGACTATACAATTCATGTACATGCATGCACTAATAGCGGCATAATAACGAGTGAAAGGCAGGTGCGCGATGAAATTTAGTCTTTCTTTCTTCTCGGTAACGACGACGGTGGCAATTTCGGATATCAAAGTCATATCGTTAATAGAAAAGAAAGGAGATCAAGGTCGGCGGGAGGAAGCATAAAAAGGCTGCAAGATGAATATCAATCTGCGATTTAACGACTTTGGAGAAAGTTGAGTGAAAGCCGTAGACAACAACAGGTATGTAAAAAGGATGGATTTAGGGGGCTTTATTATGCTCCTCCATTATTTTTTGTATCAGCATAAAAAAGGTGAGGTGACAAAATGACCCATTTACATAAACACCCACGCATACCAATTGACCAATACCAATTCAAATAAGTATGTGCAATTTGGGCGAGTAAATATTCATGTGTAATGGCAGACTAATAAATTACAGGGTGTTTGACACCGAATAGATAAACATAATACCTATTTATGCCGTTTATAACGGGGGGAAAATGTGGACTTTTTCTTGTACTTGACGTAATAAGTTATAAACCTTGTTTGGAGAATTTTTCCCGAGCAAGCACCATCACCACCACCATCTCAATGTATGTATATATCTCTGGAGAAAGCGATTATGGAAATTTGTGAATAAAAAAGGAAGCAATTTAGTCGACTTATCTTCTTCTCACAAGCTCACCCACTATTATCTAGTCTTTTTTTCTACTCATCCTCACACAAAACTTTGTGTTTCAATTTGTAAAATTCGGAAATTCGAACAATTTTTATCCTGTAGATTGTATCACTTGTTGAAAAATTCTGTAGTTTGAAAAACACAATCGAAAATAGCCTTCATTTTGACTGTAACCAAACAAAAACAACTCCCAAACCAGCAGCAGCTACATCTCCCCCGTCAAAACTTTACTATATTAAACTTTATATTTTGACAGGTTCACCAACTTTCACCCCAAAACTGGCAACTTATTAGCTTTAAACTTTGGATGCATTTTCCCATCGTGTGAAAGTTGTGTGTAGCAGATTCCACCCAATATGTATGTATTGAGCTATTTGGAAAATTCAATTCAAGTCAAGTTCTCATCCCGGTTGAAATATGGACTAAAAAAGTTTCCCATCTGGTAACTTCACTTCACGGATATGGAGAAAGCAATTTTCCCCAAATGTGCATCTCACTCTCATGAACGATAAGAAGCTACATACGAATGTACATACGTACATAGCTTAGTTTACTCTGCACGGATGGCAGAATGCGTAATATTATGCAATGAACGCCGAATCCCATTTCATTCCTTGTTTCATTCCTCGTCTCAATACGGACTCTTTGTTGAAAGAGAGAGAAAGAAGCGAGGATTTAATACTTTTATTCGCTCTGGTGATGGTGGTGGTGGTCGTGGACAATAAAAACATTAAATGGATTTTATATATACATAGTTTACTGGATGAGTTTTTCTTCTTCTCTGGCTGTTGCTTTCCCTTTGTTGCTAAACTTTCTCTTAAAAAAGACGATACGCCAAATAAAATAAAGCAGACAAACAGGCGACGCTACATATTAAAGTGAAAGTGAATTCAGCTTCCGACTCCTCCACCACCACCCACATGGAAATAAAGTGGAGGATGAACCCTTGAGATGATAACGAGACAAAAAAAGAGAAGAAAACTCACATTCGCAGGCATCCATTTTTTGTCCCAATAGCCAAAAGTCGTTGCACGGGATCGAACGTCATAGCCGTCGGCTGGTATGGAAATCCGTGACATACAGTCTGCAAAATAACGACAGATTCAAATTTAAAAATTATGTTGCTTTCTTTTCTTTCTTTACGGATTTATTTTAGATTTTTGATAGACTCTTTTTTTATGGGGTTCATTATGCATACCGTTTTTAATTTATGCTGTATTAGACAGAGAGAGAATGGGAGAGAAGATGAGCTATAAGCCTCTCAACAAATATTTTCTTTTGCTAAAGGATTGAGCCAGGCGGGGTGGTTTGGTTGGTTGAGTGAATAAACTCAATAATTCAAATTCAAAGCACATTTCTCTCCCAAATTGCAGAGTAGAGATTAGTTTGCGTTCGTGGTGGGGAAAACTGGATGGAATATTTATTAAGGGTTGTACTTGTATAGTTTGTAGAACATGGAGTGTATGTAGCGATGGTGGTGGGTCATATATAGTTTTGGAATTTGATGTAGATGAATATTTGGATTAGTGGAAGGGTGTTACAAATTGTGTTGGGCTAAGAATATCTAAGACTGCATGGTAACAAAATATATAATTCAAGTAACGTCCGTTGTTCCTATTTTCGTGAGGAGTATGTACACATAATGGAAAATTAGACGTTGTTCATTGTAAGAAATTGAGCCAATAATTGGTTTGTTTATCCATACGAGAAGAAAATGGATTGACGGCGTGTTGTGTGTATATTGATTACTGTGGATTGACGCACAATTTAATTGATCCTGTCAAAGTGAAAACACAACACAAACAAAGGAACCTAGTTCGGAGGTATGTATCTATGTGTGCATGGGCACGCCCGAAGGCCGGTGGAATTACCTTATCAAAATCAATAAATCAAAAAATGAAGCCATATTTCACAATTTGTATGCGGTATTCGTTTACAAGGGAGGATTACGTAAGTCTAATTCGTAGATAGGATTGTGTAATAATTCGCAATTCAGAGATGGATTTAGAAAATCAAGAGAAAAATATAAGTATTAGTCAGTTTTAGAACGTCTCCCTCGTGTAATGGGAATAAAAATGTGTGTAAACAAAAAATGTATCGTAAAATGACCGAAATGTCCTCCACTCTACAAGACAAATTGAGATTGGAGACAGATCGTGATCCCAAAAAGAGACACGACAAGAGATTTATCTTTCATTCCATTCCCAAAAGTAGTCGCAAAGCAACGTAATGTTCCATCCACTTTTCTCCTAAATCGATACGTGCTCAAGTGCTATCAAAACATTAATCAAAAATTCCTAGGCTACTCTGTTTTCCTTTAAGATTTTCTACATGGGCATTTCCTAAGGGAGCAAACAAAAACAGCACACAAAAAAAAATTCACAAACCTGTGCAATCTGGAAGTTCTCGGCCCTCAGAGGTTCTGGAATTTCGGTGAGTGGTCCCTCCAGATTTTTACTGGGTGAGCCTTGACCCGGACCTTGACCACCCGGTCCTTGATTCACGGATGACCGGAAGCCATCCAGTACTCGAGATAATGTGAATTTCTTCATCTTCTTCTCTTTTGACAGGTCTTGAGAAATCACTCACTCATTGAGATCCTCTCGAGAAGGAGAAAGTGATTGTTTTTCTTCTGGCAAAAGTAAGTACGAGTCGATCGACATTTTGTTTTGAGTGATTTAGTGAAGTAGGAGAAAGGAGGTTAGGTTAGTAAATATTTGTGTTTGAGATCCAAAATTGATTCTTGAATATTGGCATTTGACCTTAATTTGGGAACCTGACTGCTACTTTCACCATGTTTTTATCTCCATGTAAAATCAACCTTTGCTCATTTATTCATTTATTTTAGATCGTTGAGAATGGAGGTTGAGGTAGTAGCCAGAGGAGAGAATCACATTTATACTTGTCACTGTCACGTCACATTGTCACCAAACGAGCTCCAGTCTGGTGCATAATAAACGAGAAAATAATTTGATTAAAACGCAACCCAAGTTCTCGGGGTGAAAGTCGAAGCTCTCAATTTCTCCACCGGATCAAATGGAACAAAGGCAGAGAGAGTAGGTCGGTTCACTAGATTGATTGATGTGGTGTTGGTTGTATTGTTTTTACTCTGTATTTACTCTCCTGCAATCCATATAAACTGTTCTTTTTGCCTGCCGGGGGTATTGTGTTTCAGTAGTGAAAGCGGGGCATCATTAGTTGGAGAGAGTGAAAATCAAAGAGTCACTAATGAGCATATAAACATCACTGTGGTATTCATACTAATAAAATTTGAGCATTTTCATCATCTCTCTCTCTCTTTGAATATGGGCTTTGTTGACTCTCGGTCTGAATCAGTTTTTGGAGAGAGATGGGAAGCCAAAGAGGATCAAGTCGAGTCGGCTTTGAATGTCTGATTTGGAGTCTGACTCGAGAGATGAATAACTGAAATGAGAAGAGAGAAAAAGAAATATTTCAGTTAATTAGGAACCACTTCAATAAAATAGGCTACGTGATGAGATCATTATATCTACATACGTACGTCCCAGTTTGGAGGGATAAGCATACGAATATGTAACATTCATGGTATTTGATTTAGCAAATTCATGTGAATTTCGTCTGTATTTGCAAAGCGGCATATGTAACGCTTGATTTACTAATGCTTTCCAGTGATTGATACGTTGTATAATTTCCCGGAATTTATCAAAGTCTTATGGAAATGAAAATGTCCCTCGTTTCGAAATACATATCTCGACAGTCGACACTTGAACCACAATTTCTAAAGCATGTGTCTCTCTCAGCTTGACCTCCTATTTCTTGACCACCCACTCCTTACTCACGTTGACAGTAAGCATAAATCTGTGGCACTCTGCCAACGGGATACATGGATTTTAATATAAAAACCTACAGTGCAGACTCCATATAGCCCGAGTCAGGGACAGAGTCCCTGACTCCGTGAGTCCTAGCTGTTTCTAAATTTTTCTCCGAATTGACCGACATAATATTACCACTTTGAGCTTCCACAGCTATATTTGCTATCAAGAAGGGTTTTTAGCCTTCGTACCAAATTTCAGATGGAAAAAATTAAACTTAAAAAATGGTATGGGTTACCCTCCAGGGTCACTCTGGTTAAAATTCGCTCACTTTTAACTTCATATCCTTTCATGAGAAGCCATTAGGTATGACCTTGCCGGATTTAATGTTTTTAAAGTAATTTCTAAAAATCGGTATGGGTCACCCCATAGGGTCGCTCCTGATAAGAATTTTACCAATTCCACGTCATATTCTTCTATTAAGACCCATTAGCAACCTCTCTACCAAATTTCAGCTTTTTATGACGATTTTGAAAAATCAGTATGGGTCATCCCATAGGGTCCCTCAAGATGAAAATTTTTCAAACTTAAAGTCATTTTTATCTATTAGGAGCCATTAGCAACCTCTGTACCCAATTTTAGCCTTCTACGACAATTTTGAAATTTAGTGCATAATACCCCACCCACTCCGATGACCCCCACCGGTCAACCACTTGACCGATTTCGCCCATCTTCGAACTCGTTTCCTAACTTTGTCCAATATGCATATGGTAAAAATTTCAAGTCAATCGGTTCAGCCGTTTTGGCTCTATCGTGCCGGACAGACGGACGGACGGACGGACGGACGGACGGACATGACGGTTCCATAAGCCCTGACTCGGGCTAAAAAGTACGCTCTCCTTTATCATGTCCACCCACTTTCTCTCTTGAAGGAAGGAAGAAAAATATCCCTGTCTTGTTTCAGAGGTATGTACATGTCACCTCTCTTGATTTTTGATGAATCTCTCTCCCCCTCTTAAAAAGAGGAATGCAAAACCCTTCAAAAATCTGGAGAGGTGACAAAGACAAGTGAGTGATGACAGGGGATCGATAAATTAGGGGAAAACAAAACAAAAGTATCGCTACTTGAGATACCAACAGGATTATTAACTCTATACTTATCCAATATCAATACAACTTTCACTAGATTACTGTATATCTACAGATAAGGTTTATTACTTACATTTTCCACCTGATTTCCACACACAATCGTTCCCACAAACACACACAGACTGACTTCGTAATTAAATCTATTGTCTTAGTTTATCAACCCAATCACTATTCAAAGAGGGTGAAAGTTACTCTAAAAAAATAACTAATCCCAAAATAGTGTACTCGTTCTAGAATTAAAACACCTCTCCGTAAAAATCGTAACCTTGCACACGGTGTGTGTTGAGTACGAGTACAAAGAGAGAAAGATGTTGCTTGTACGTCTGGCTTGTCGCACCACAAAATTTTCGGTTTTGGTTCAAACTCGTAGGATTGGCTACGATGCGACCGAGCTCACTTTTGCTGGTGTGCACTTTCTCCAGTTTGACATGCACATAATATTCTGCGAGAGTAGTAGAGGGAAACTCAGCCCTGCTGCTCCTGCTGCTGATTTCTTGCGAGTGAGTGAGACCTATGTACCTCCACCGACCACGAGTAAGGCATACATACAGCAGTAACCTAGCCTGACATGGTATGGTGGTAGAAATGTGTAAGCCATAGGAAAAAGGAGCGGACTTTCTCGACTACTGACGCAGTTTGGGTGGTGGTGGTGGTGCTTGTGCGGGCAGATATTCCTCTCTTTCTCTTTCCGCGCAGCTCGACCAGGTTTACTTTCTCTCGAGAAGCAGCAGCAGCAGCATCAGAATACTTAGTGCTGACTGGCTCCTGCCCGTATTAAAAGGAGTAAGGAACGGAATGGCTGTGTAGCTGGAGGATGGATGGATGGATGGATGGACGGTGCAATATTATCTGGGTCTCTGAGATGGAATAATGCCCAGTTCTTCGTATACATTGGTGGAGAGGTAAATTTTGCAAATTTGATACTATAAACGGTACTTAGGTTGGTTAGATATACATACATTTTGGAGGGTAATAATTACTCTGTAGCTTTGTCATGTGGATGAGACAGGGGAAATTATTTCGTTTTGATATCTTTATCGTCGTTGGTATGTGCGGAGCAGTTCGTTGGCTGCGTCTCGCGTGTGTCTTGACCAATTCTCGGGAGTAAAATATCTTCTAGGGATATATCTAGAATTTTCGGGTATAGTTGGCAAGGAGAAAGTAGTAGTCGCACAGTTGTACGTATTAAAAGGTGAGGAAGTAAAGTAAAGAGTAAAAAAAAAAGTTATCTTCTTCGTCACTATAAGAATTTCCCCTGTTAACTTTCTGCCTTTCTCTTTTTTTATTCCTTCTTCCGTTCTTTCACTTTCCCCAACTTTCACTAGCAGCAGGCACTCGATCTCCACTCTTACTTACTTACTTTCTCCACTCGTAGTAGTTTAGTCCTCCACTTAGTTCTCGTTATGCAGGCCAACCACTATATCACTCACTCACTCACTTAATATGATAACGTCACTCTTGAACTGTCCAAAAAATTGGTCAAACTTGCAAGAAAAGTTTGTTTAATCGACAATCCATTTACTGTACTCCTCCAAATAGCGATAATTATCTCGTCCCACCTGACAATTGAATCGAGGAGGGCATAGGGGAAATTCTCCGAGAGAAATTTGCATGAATTGTTAATAAAATAATAAAACTGGAAAATTAGAGAAAACCAAACCACAAGAAAGGACGATATATAGGTCACTATTTTGTGGTGGGTGATGGTATAATTATTATTCCCTAAAGTAAATGCGTGGGTTCAGTTTCTGACCGTATTTTAGTGGATATAATATTTCCCTCGTTGTTTGTTTGTGTGGTTGTGAAAGAGAGAGAGAGGGGATTTAAGCAAGTTTATCTTTGAGAGAGAGAGAGGCTGTCGTAAAGATAAGGCACCCACCGACCGACCGACGACCGTGATGATATTATTATTGCTATTGTTATTATCGGGGCTCTTGTTAAACTTAAGAGGAGAATAATACAGTCAAATTCGGGACTTCAAAAGTGAGCCGAAATATAGTGAAGTATTTTACTACGTATAGTTTATGCAATAGTGATGATGGTATATTATTATTATTATTGCGTTGTATAATAATAACAGGACCGAAAATATTGGCCGAAGTGTAATTATGGGTATCATTTTAATAATTTAGAAGTTACTTACCGAGATATTTACGTAGTTGAGCAATTACGATAATACTTGGTTTTTAATATTTGTCACATTTCATCACCGTTTAACAAATAATAATATTTTAAGAGGATTTTAATAATATTTTATCGACGAAAACTTCACCTACTGACTTTTGCTGGTACAATATCATATTATTTATTTATTTATTCATAACTTATTAGCATAAACAAGAAGGCGTATTAATAACAAATGAAAACAAATTAACTGCAGCTGTCAGTCACCCAGTTAAAAATACAGTACTTAACTTATGTTAAATTTAATTTAACCACCCTTTTTCACTCCACGAGTATGAGAATTCGTGACTTTTAATAAAATCACACACACTTTGTTTTACACTCACTGCACGCGTTTCATGCACTTTTTTCCATGCAATTTGTTTTCCGCATGGAAAACTGTTACACATCTCTTTTTTCCTCCCAATATTTGTAGGAATTTCATAAAGAATTTTTTTTAGGGAAAAAATCTTTTTTATTTACTCTGTGAATAAGCCATTTTATTTAATGGGGATTCTTTCCATCTCTTTGCTGTCTCTGCACAGATATTAAATAACACAAAACTCTCCAACATTTCAACTTCAGCTGCTGTTGCTGCTGCGAAAAATGCCATCCAGGCACTTCCTTTTAAGAAGAGTGGATGGAAATATGCAAGTAAAATCGTATTGTAGAAGAATTCATGTTGTATTTCTTGTCAGGAAAAATTCCATCTCGTTCTTTTTTTACAATGTATATTTAGGAATGGGATGGGATGCCCGTCTTCTTGCTCGGAAGCTATTATTATTTATCGCTATTACTACATTTTTCAACAATGCAGAATGGAATGGGAGAAGAAGAGGTAGGATAAATTAGATGGAAATACCAGTTTTGGTTAATAATACACAGGTGTGATATACAGCGTAGTTTACTGTATGAAAGTTATTACACGAGCTAGAATTGAATGTCGGGTTAGGAAAGAAATTGCATATGCAAACTCCATATTTTTGCATGCATATGCCTCTTTTTATAAGAGGATGCATGGGGTGAGACATGTGTAATGTTACGTAAATAAATACGGTAAGAATTAATTATTCGTCCCGAATTATTTGGAACGAGGTGAATCATTTTTTTTCAGATGCAAATTTTAATCACTTTAATTAAATGGGTCGTTCAAAAATTTGATACGATTTGCAATTCCCATTTAACTAAATATGTAGGACAAGTAATAATACACTCGGATTCAATCCAACCTAACAATTTCCTACAAACCGCAAACAATCCCGTCGTCTCTCTGCCCAAAACCGCAATCCATTCCATTTTCATTCCAACTCTGACTTGGAGAGTATTACACACACCGCGAGAGAATCAACTGGAGAATAGTTCCATGTAATTAAAACAATCGACATAGAATTCGCTGCTTACTACTTACAACTTATAAAGTTTTCCTGTATAGTTCGTTAGTTGCGACACAATAACAACAACTATGAAACAGAACGACATGAAACTTTTCGGAAGGACAAACATGATTTACAACTTTGTACAAAGCCATATAAAAATAATAATCTGCGTCATCACGGCCAAAAATCCGCCATGTAATGCGTTTCTGAAAATCCGGCTTCCTCTCTAAACTTTGTCGGGATCAAGTTACTACAACACAAAAGCAATTTCAATCTCGTTTCTCTGTTCTGCTGGTAGCTTATTACGGGTTGTCAAAAGTTAATTGAAAATTGACACTTTGTTCACTTTTTTTATACTGCAGCGTATGCAATTCTCTTGATGTTTGAATTCCTTTCTGACTGAAACTGATAAAGTACACGGTTTCCTTTGATGTGAAACATTTTGATAAGATGTGTTATTTTGTTGTTAAAAAGATGAAAAGTCAATAAATAACGTTGTAAAGAAGAATTTTCTTGTAGGATGGAACGAAAATGAAAATCCAGCCAGTTATACAAGTTCATATCTTTTTTATAATTTGAGAAACCTTGTTTTGCAATGCTTTCTTCCCTCCTTAAAAAAGTGCTTTGATCATTTTCCCATGAAAGAAGGAGAAGGAGAAGTCGTACAACTACTGGACGAGAATTGTGTCTCTAACAGAGAAAAAAAAATCGCAAAAAAAGAAGGAAATTTTCCACTAGTTTAAAAAAGAGGGGAGAAAGTGAACCATGTTTTTTACTTTGTTAAACAAAAAGGAGAAATAAATATAAATTTTTTTTCTACTACAATAATTCGAACATGATTTGTCAGACGTCACTGCATTCGTCCTTTTATTGCCATAGTCAGTCTTTTCCCTAAACTTTGCGTATCATGTTTTTGTCGCGACTAAATATTTGAATAGAAAGCAAAGAACCTAAAGAAGCGTCCTTGTCAAGTTGGTGTGAAATAAATATCTCAAACTAGTTGAGAGTGAAACTTGTTGAGAAAAAGTTGTGCACAAAGGAGAGAGTCCTTTTCCGTTTCCTGTTTGTAAAGAGAAAACCAACAAGGAAAGTGCCACTGAAGTTGGGTTTAACATGGTTAAATAGAGAAAAAGGTGTCGCTTAGTGCCGTTCCTTGTAAAGAGATTGTTGCAAAAAAGAGATACATGTGAGGAAATTCGGTGTTAAATTTTTGTGGGTAAAAAAAAACCGAAATCCTTGAATGATCAGATTGGATTTTTTTAAGACGGAATAAAATAGTAGATAAATCTAGACTTTGTTATATTACGGAAAATTAACGATCTGTATTTTTATTTTCTTATTATAAATGTTAAATTAAGAAATAGGAATAAATAAATGAAATCTATGCTACACTGTAAATTTCACTTTCTCTTTAAGAGTTAAGAGTAGATAGGAATATAAATAAGTCAGACACCACTCTCCTCCCATCCATTCGTGTTCTTGTATCTGTAAATTAGTTGTAAAGAAAGCAAAGTTTCTCTTAAAAAGTTTTCTCTCCTCGAATATAACTGCACCTCCGCCAAGACCACTTTTCCATGAAAGTTTATCCTATTAATTTTCACTATTTAATACGTGCGTTGAGTGTTAAATTGTTAGTCTCGGTGATAAATTAGGTTCGCTACCTTTTTGCATTGTATTCAGTATTTGTATTGCTTATGGCAGGCAGGCAGGCAGAGTGGGTGGCAGTAGTTGGAATAGTATTATGTCGGTGGTGGTGGTACTACTTTATAACTTACTAACTTATTTAGCGACACAAAGCCAAGTTTTCCTTGAATTACATAGTTTTGTAGTCTGGTTCACAACAATGCATTAGTAGTGGAGGCGAGACTTGCTTATTTTCTATATTCCCACATTCTTGCATTCTTCATGTTTTTCAGGTACTACTTGTGGGGCTGGTGGTGGTGGTATTGGTCGTCAGAGAAGGTGGTGGAGAAGGAGAAAGCACGACGAGACTTTCCCACAGCGACATTTTATCAGCTTCTGTTAAACTTTCTCCGTCTGCTCGATTTCCAGATCGTCTCCTATTGCTGTTACTTGCTGTCGGTCTTGCAGGTCTCCGTGGTTGTTGGTGGTTGTCGTTATGTCGATGGTGTTGGTTATGTCTGTTGGTATCTGGACTGCTTTCTTCTGGGAAAGTTGTGGTGGTGGTCGTCTCCTCTTCCCCAGAATCTAATGTTTCCGTGTCTTCCGTATCAAAGATTTCATCGTCGTCGTATCTGCTATGAGTTGTGGGAAGTTGTGGGAACGACGGAGGACGACGGGGAGAAGATAGTGGAGAAGATGAGATCTTGTTATTGACCACTTCATTTCCTGTTTGAAGTAACAATGCTTCAAAACTGTTGCTACTTGTGCGAGGTTGATGATGATGATGATTTCGATTATTTGTTGTTTGAGTGGCACCATTTTGATGACCACGGTTGACTGCACCACCACTGTCGGGAGGAAGAAATGGGGTGATTTCGTCCTCCGTGTTGATATCTGTACATCCAGAGTAATAAGTTCTGGTAAAGTTGTCCCTCTCGTCCAAGATCTGATTTGCCACACCCAACCATAGCTCGGATGCTGACCTTGTACTGCAGAGACATAATTTTTTGTGATGAAATTAGTATGAATTTCACCATTTTCACCCGTTACCTACCTGTTATCAACAGTGTTCAAAATTTTAATCAACAAATCTGCAATATGTTCTTCGATCAACGGTTGATTATCTTGAATACGGACGCACGACTCCAAAAACCCATTTATACTCATCGACACCATTTCCAACCGTTCGTCCATTGATCGACTAAATTCTGTGATTTTTCGCCCCAACGCTGTCGACATGCTATCCACGGACGCCAAAGCTTCAACTATTACGGCAGCTGCGAAATTAATTTCAAATTAGACTTGCAAATAATACATAATTACAAAATCATCATGTTAAGTAATCTTACACATTAATTCTGACGAGCTTGCCCCTCCACCGCCACCATTGTTATTATTGTTTCCATACGAGTTAGACCTGCTATTATAACTCCTTTGCTGATTATTATTATAATTTTGACTAGTAGAACTCGGAGACAAGGCCAACACGGTCCTAAACCCATCGTGGACATCTCTCCTTGTCACATTGGCAATTGAAACGGCATCTTTGAGGAGACCTTCCATGCTTGAGGAGCGTCGCATCAAGTCTTCAAACATGTTTGTCACCTTGTTTCCGAGGAGCTGGTACTGGGTCGTGGTTTGGTTTTGCAGTTCTGCAAAATCGATATTGAGAGATGACGTTGGTAACGTTGTAGTGTTGTTTTTTTGCTGCGACATTTTATCCTGATGACCACACCCACTCGACGAAGATAACGAAGACTGACTAGAAAGTGACGAATTGGCGACAAAATCTTGTAAAATATTCAACATTTTATCACTATTTTGAACTAGGAGAGAAGTTGACGTGTCTCCTTTGGCAGTAAAGTTTTTGGCAGTGCTTTTCCAAACTTCGAGAGATGAATTGACCTGCAAGTTGGTATAAAATATGTCAATCAATGTCACCATTTGTTTCTCCGTTGAGTTTTATCAGTGTACACACACGCACCTCATTCATTGTTAAGATAACTTTCTCTTTGACTTTCTCCTGTCCCAGTGCCACAGAATTGAAGGCGTTTGATAAGAACTCCTGATATCTTCTGTTATCCCGTTGCATCGCTGTTAACTTGGATTCCAGTTTGGAATCAATGTTGGCCAGAATTATGTCAAATTTAGATTCCAGCAGACGATTCATCCGGTTCAATTCATCACCCCAAACTTCCATCCTGAGTTTTGACGTGGTTTGTCCCTGTGCAAGTAAAAAAAAAAGAGAGAACGTGGGATGAAATGCATGGGATGCATGAAATGAGATGAGTGGGTGAGATTGAATGGAAGCTATTCATGCAGAAAATACGGGAGAATGTCACATCTTCCGAGAATTGGGGAGAAGATTGGTAGAAAATTGTCTTTTTTTACGCTGTCACTTCCTCCCCTGCATTTTAGAAGTATCGTTCCCAGCGTGGCAAAATGAGACGGATTTTAATCACATCGTGGTTAGAACAGAAAGTCGAAAACACTCACCGTTTCAATATTGTCGAATCTGAGCAGCATTAAAGATTGAATTCTAGTCACTCTCGCCTCCAACTGATCTAATTGACCCACGACGCGTGAGAGCTGGCTTTCCACACTTCTCTGCCATCCGGACACGACTAGGGCATGATTATTATTATTATTGTTGCCATTATTGTGAAGGGATGGATTCGCACTTCCGATCGGCAATAAATTAGTGGATGTAATAATAATAATTATGCAAAATTTTAGCCACAGGGGACGAGACATTTTCCTCGTCGTCAGGATATTTTTAGACCCACTTCTTGAACAAATGGCAAAACTGCTCCTCTTTTCACAACCGTTGAAATAAAAAGCATGTGCATTTCAATGAAATGAAACAGCATAACTGACGGGAGAGACTTTGCAAGGCAAGTAGCAGTAGCAGAAAAAAAGTCCCAAAAACTAACCAAACATCATCATCATTACATTATATCTGGGAAATATATACACATACATCTGTACATGCGACGGAACATCGAACTTGAGTTTTTAACTTTTACACCATCTGCGGCCCAGATGCGATGCATTTCCTGTATTTTTGTCTCGTGCTATGCCCAACTTGATGCATACATGCGAGTCTTTAGAGGAGGATGAATAGCGGGCATGACGGGTCGTCTTTCTTATTTAAACCCTTTGAATATCATGTACGGGTTGTGTTTTGTTGTGTAGAATTGTGTGGGTGGCATCATGTAACACAAAAGGTATTAGATGTTTGGATGGTTGTGTATGTACATATGCATTCGTTCCAAAGTTTCGAGAGGCGGGCGGGCGGGCGTCTCTTGTACGGAAAACTTAAAGTCATAACATGTCTGTATAGAATTATGTAATGTGTAAGTCTGGACTGCGCCGTGTAATGAAGAATACTTGTGACAGTAATGAGATTACCTAACTTTTAAGAGAGAGAAACTGATTTTCTGGGCAATATTTCTTCTCACAATTTTTATTCTCCCCAAATGTGAATTCTTTTCATATTTTCCATATTTTCCTCGAATGTCTAGAACAATTAACAACTTCAGACTTGATAAAATGGTGTTGCATGATAACAATTACGATATATAATCTAATATATAGATATAATATTAATGCGGTGAAGAATAATCGTGGCGTGGCTACTACAACCTCAACAACAAATAACAAATTGCAGATAGCGAAACTAATTATTTTTTTTACTAATTAAATCTCCTTAATAAATATAATAAAGTCAGTGCCGTCGTACAATCCAAGTGATGATGGTGAATTTGTCATTATATTTCTTCCAATTTTTGATTTATGTGTGGCGACGCATTTTCTCATTTTTTTCCTTCGTCGAACGGACTTGATTGCAAAAAAAGTATTTAATTAGCTATATTTTTTTGGAGAGTAGAATAGACAAGGTGATCACGAAAGCAGGTCTGCGAAAAAATAATGAAGAAATTTGAATAAGTGAACTAAATAATTTCATGTTTACCAAGTTCTTGGTAAATGTATACTTACCTTGTAACGGATTATTAATTAATGGATTAGATGTTGTAGTTGAATTAGATAATAATCCAGTGTTGGAATCTCCCAATAAGTTATTTGACTCTTGCCCACCTCCCAGTCCTCCCTCTCCATTCATTCCATCAAACTCGATCAGTGTGGAATTGTTTCCAAAATCGTTATTGTTGTTGTAATTGTTATTTATGGAATTATTCGATGATTGCACGTCTCCCAATAATCTGTGAACCCAAAAAGATCAGTCAGTCGTCAATATTTACACAATTCTAAAATTGAACTATTTAGATTTATACCGATAGGCTAGACGTACCCATTATTATCTTTGTGTCCATTGACAGGCGTTGTTTCGATCCCTTGTTTCGCTTCAGCGGAATTGGTCCTATAAAAACGTGCAAGAAAAATAAACAAGTCAATCACACATTTTAACAACCAGACATAAATAAACTGCTTGTCCTATCCATACTTCGCCTGCTGTTGTTGCTGTTCTTGTTCCTTTTTTCTCGTTCTAGCCATAATAGCCTCGACCCTTTTACGTCTCTCTAACCTCTCCTCCTCCTCCCTCTTCAGCCTTTCCTCCATCTCCAGGCGAACTTTTTCTGCTTCACGCGCAGCCTCTCGCTCTTGCTTCTCTTTCTCTATACGAGCCTTTTCGTCTTCAATTTGACGTTGTCGCTCCTCTTCCTCCCTCTTTTGCTGCTCTTCGATCGCTATTCTGAGTCGTTCCTCTTCAGCGGCGCGTGACTCGCGGGCGAAACGGTCGGCTTCTTCGGCTTCTAATCTCTGGCGTTCTTCTTCTAATCTCTGCTCCTCAACTATATATCAAAAAAATATACATGGATTTTAGACACGTTTTCATAAATATGTTGCTATAATTGGTAAAGAAACCCACGTTTCAATGCCGCCTCCCTCTCGACCGCTTCTCTGGCGAGTTTCCTCTTTTCCGCGATTGCAGCCTTTGCTTGCTCTTCCGTCATAATCTTTGGCTTTGAAGAATCCTCCGTGTCGAGAGGGGTAGGAGATACAGACTTGTTATTAACTTCAGCGACTAGTAAGACATTGTTTGTTGTAGCAGTGAAATCTAATTCACTTCCCAATAAATCATCCATCGCTGATACTTGAATCTCCTCTTGACCATTGACTGGGTTCGGCTCTGGCGTTTTGGAGGAATAATCCGATCCGGAAGCGAAAGCAGATTCGATGCTTTCAAAATTTTCTATCACTTTTCTATTTCCATTCATGGATTCGACATAATTCTTACTATTATTTAATTCTACATGACCAACGGGCACAGTATTGACCAACTCGTTCTCATTCACAGTATTAATTTCTTTCGCCGATTCTGAGAATGGATTGTTGTTAGCAGAAAATGGATTCGTATCCGCAAATGCACCGACTGCTGCGACTGCCGGTTCTTCCTGTTTTTCTACTTTCTTAACTTCCGCCGCCGCTGCCGCCGTTGGCTTTTCCTTGGGAGCACTTGGCGTCCTCTTAATCGGTCGCTTCATCGTCCCAGTTTCACCAGGAAGTTGTTGTTGGTTATTATTCCGAGAAGGTGTCGATGGGCTTGGACTAATCTTCCCAGATAATATTTTCCTCGGCTCTGGTTTCTTTTTCTCAGCGGGTGGAGGTGCGGTTGGAGTAGAACTTGTCGTCTTTCTCTCCTGTGAAGCATCCATCCTTCGTCGAGAAGAAGATGGGGGGAGAACTCTGTGATCTCCATTGTTGTTGTTGGTGTTTTCCTGCTGAGTAATTCCAGTGACATGGACTGAAGCGGGACGACTCTTTCTCGACGTCATATTTCTCGGTCTCATGGGAACTTGTGAATGTGTGGAGGAAGTCATGATTGATGAGCTCATGGAAGATGGGGGACGGGATTGATCAACGGAGCGGAATCCTGTAAATTAAATTTTTCAATATATTAGTCACATTTTGCAGAAATATGATGGATTCCATCAAAATCTGGTTCTATCCAAAAGCAGAGTACATCAGAAATATTTACTGTGCAATTATAGCAGGAAATGTGTGTGCAAAACCAGACAGATGAGAATCCATAATCATATCACAGAGATTAAGCTTTATCTAAACAACAATATTATAAAACCCATGAGGAGATTTACCAGCACCAGCATCGAGGATATTTATAAGCTTTCTGTCAACAACAAAATACTGATTACTGAATAAGTACGTGGGCGACATATATACACCACCAAATAAAATTATTTACAATTATTTTTGTCTGTAAATGATTTTCCCAACAAAGAGAGAAAAAGAGACAGTGATATCAAGAGGAATTTTTACGAGTGGCTACAAATTTGTCATAAAAAGCAGTGATTTTTTTGTGTGCTTTTGTCTTACCACCATCCTTATCCTTTTTCTGAGCCAAAGCCTGTCTCAAAATTTCCGTTCTAGTCATTTTTAATCCCGTTGAAGCCAAGTGAGTCGTACTCTTTGACCGTGATGGTCTTTGACCTTGATGCTGGTGCTGGGCGGAGATGGCGAGGTTGCCACACCCGGGAGACCGCGATCTGTCCAATCTCGTCATAGACACTGAGCTATAAAACACCCTACCTGAGCCACCACCACGGCTGGACGTTGTGGAACGTGTCGACATCATCGAAGCGGACATGTCGTAAACTTCACGTTTGATGGGGATCGTAGGGGTTAAATCGGTACGACGACGGCCACAAAACACTCGCATTGCATCCGCTCCTTCGTCTGAAAATAGTAGTGGTAAAATTATTAGCATTTCAGTGCAAATAAAATAAAATACAAACGTTAAAACTTTAAAAACAAAACTCGTGCACAAACCAGTAATAAAATTTTCCATTCCATTAACGCAAATAAAATATAAAACTTGTGTCTGAACCAAAAATCAAACTTATTTGCCAACTCAAACAAAACTATGGACTGATAATGGGTCAAAATCATTATCATCTCAACTACGCTACCACTCATGCTCCATTAACAGAGAATAGTTTAGATAATTACAATTGCTTCTCGACTTGGTAAGACGACTCCCACCACCAACACCATCAATTCTGTTACGATGATACACCAGTGGATTGTCTGGATTCGGATTTTGCTGGTTCCACGAGTAGCTTGTACTCATACGAATTTCGTCTACACATACGTATTAAATTTGTCGGTCATTAGAGGTAATTAGGGTCACGATACTACAAGATATTTTCCTGTCCATACAGCTAACGTGTCAAGAAAAGAGATATGGATTTCCTATAACATGTATAAAAATGACATTCTAGCTCGAAAGCAAACAAAGTCTGATAGTTGTCTTTCATGTCGAAAATATCGCATGTCATTCAAAAGACGGAAAGAATACAACCTTGGACTCCGACAACAGCACACACACCAAATTTGAGAAAGGATTCACTAATCAATGATAGCAATATTGAAACTTACTCTGTTGTAAATGTAAATCCGTGGCTGAGCTGGCCCTCATTCCCGGTGCCCTCGTAACGTTTAAATTATACTGTGACTTCCACAGGCTTCCATCCACTTGATTGTCTATGAGACGTGGGGTACAAGAACCAAAGGCAAAAACCGGTGCAGGTTTCGCACTCTGAGCTCGAGGACAAGGTTTCGTCGACTTGGATTCCCATTTCGCCTGCAAGGTCAACTTTCTCTCCTCGTCCAACATCCTGCGACGCTCTTCAGCCTGTCTCCGACGCTCGTCCTCTTTCTTCACGAGCTCTTCGAAATGCTTTTTACGGCGAGAATCCTGCTCATCTCGGAGGCGAGAGGCGGCGAAGGCCTATATAAAAATAGGAGATGGTTAATTATGTCCTGTTCATAAAATCCGCTAATTATTAAGCAGGCAATTAATTTTAGTTATTACCTGCTCCTTGAGTTCTTCTAATTTCTTGAGCCGATCATGGTCTTGCTTCTCTTCTGCGGAAATGAATAAAAAAATTAGTATAATAAATTCCACTACATATTTAATAATAACTCATGTACATATTTTTTTGCTTACTGAGTAAATGAATTCTTTCGTGCCGTTCACGCGCTGTGGCGGAGGAAGGTCTACTCCCACCGCCGTTAACGCCAGCACCAGCGACCCCCCTTTGGCCTTGACTCGTCGCTTGATCGCTCATCCCATCATTTTGTACACCTAATTAAGAATATAAAAAAAATGTTAATTAGTTAATTTCTCCAAACATCTTCTACATAAATCTCGTATCTTCACACCATTATTATTAAAACCATATGAATGACTATCACAGGAGGGAAGGTTTTCACCGGGAAGTGTATCGACAAGGATGGAACGTAGCTCTTCTAGTTTACTTTTGTATTCTCGTTGACTATGTTGTGCCATTTTTTCTTAAGCCACGACGATGTTTGAACACTTTTTGTGGTATTACTACTACTGGCCCAGTTTCAAATATTAAATCAGAATTATTTTGCACCACCACAAATTATAATTATGTGTATCCGACTTCTTTGCAAATCTCATAACTCAACTTCTTCCTCCTTAATGAACCCACAATAACACTGCACCCACCCAACTAACTAGCTCATCGTCTACTGGCTACCTAATTTTGCAATTTGTGTGTGTGCGAATGTGTGTGTATGTTTGTATGCAATCAACAATTCCGATTACAAAAACTTTGGTGTTGAATTAAAACACACACCCAACAGAAAAACCAGGCCAGTACTCTGACTAAGGATGACGATGACTGCAGCAACCATTACTTTAGTTGCCATCATTTCACAGCAGCAGCGACTGACTTTTGTTCCCAACATTTAATAGGCAATGAACTAACTGAAGCTATAATCATACCAACCACGCGAGAATGCTGCCTTTACGGCTATGTAAAAAGCCCCACAAACAAGTACGAGTTTCATTATAAAGAAGACGACTGTGGGGATGGATGGATGGATATAGACACGATGGCGAGCATCCACAATGCCGTGAAGATCAGCGTCATGATGATTCACTATGAGAGCCGAGTGTCAGTTTGGTCCGATCCAATTGGTAAAAAGCATCGCCAAGTAGTCGAGATCGCACATAAGTTGTAAAGGGGTTTGGGTGGCGAAGAAGACTTACGGCTGCCACCACAATAATAAAATACTGTCAGAAAACCATGGCTTTATGCACACCGAATGAGAAAAGAATGGCATGCATGCAAACACGTTTTTTATCCAATTCATAATAGAAAATTGCGCTAATACAAGTCCACACCATCATCTGCAGTGGTGGTTGGTGTGCACAATTGGCAGGTATGGCATGAAAGGGTGTATGTAATGGGATACGTATGTATGATGTTGGTGGGTTTTTAATATTGATGATATTACATACACACATCGAATCGAACATCAAAGTCATTATCCAGTCAGCTCAGGTAGAATGAAATATGTAGGTGGGTCGGGAGTTACATATTGCATGCAGGCAAGGTACATATGCAACGTACATACATATGCATGTAACAAAGTTTAGGTGGAAGAAAAACCGATTATTCCGCCCATTAACGCCCGTCCGTCAGAGAGCTTTCGGTGCGGTGCTGAATAAAAGCGTGATCTACTCACTGCTGGCTGACCGCCGCTAGCCCGCTCGGGCAAGAAGGGGAGTAAATTGGTGAAAATTATAGAATACAAATATATAGGGCATCGCATGCAGTTTCTATTCACAGAGACATGCAGATGGAAATCAATGTAATGCGCGCTGTATAATCTAATTTCGGGTGTGGAGCCCCATGTCAGGTATCCGTTGCAGCCGGCTATTCCACTGCGGACAAACTTTTCCCAAAGAACACGTGCCTATAAACGCCTCAAAACGGCGTGTAATGGCGCATACACAGATATATATTTTTCTGATATCGATCTTCGTTTGCAGGATTTTCAAGTTCAACCTGACGAAGCGTTTCTTTTTCAATAATAATATTTTTGGGAGCGTGGGCGGCTTTGAACTTGTACAATCACCGACGATTCCATTTAGCAATTATACATTTATGGTCACTTTTGACAGAGTGTCGAAGAAGGTGGGGAACAGCGAATGACATCATCTCAACAAGAAATTTGACGTTACAAGCAGAATTTCAAAACTCTTAAAAACTTGACGCATCATTAAATTTTACAAGGTTTTCATAACAAACTTACAACAACCACTATTCGTTTACATACGTGATGGTTTAACTAGTTTTTTAAGCATACGTAAACGAAAATTGAAATATTTGCAACCTCAACAAACAAACATCCGAGTTATTGTTTTTTCTTGCAGTATGACATCATTTTTCGATACCAATCCCTCTACTGCTACCACCCCTTAAAATATACCGTAGCATAAATTAATCAACAAAATTCGAGGTAATGATGTAAGAAAATTAGTGTACTCGGCTAACTATGCACTTCATCAAGTGTGTGTAGGTTGTATGCATTTATGAAGAAAAAGTAGTGTTAATCGTAAACCTTTGTGTTTGCAAGCTGCCTGACATGGTCATCTTCATTATGATTACTACAGATTGTATATTTCCTACTCCTTAGTTAACCCAAACTAAACAATGTATGTGTGTTTAGCACATTTTTTTACAGAATAAAAAAAAACAGAGAATCTCCTTCTGAAGTGGCCGAGTGAAATATATTATGTAGGACTCAACTTTACACAAAAAGATATTTATTCGCTTAGCTTAGCCCGTTTTATATTTGATGCGAAGAAATTAAGTAGGGCACGAGGGTTTAAGCGTGCGGAAATATTTGGAATGATGATGATGACAGTTTTTGGCGTTTTATTTTATAGTAAAAAAAACTAAAAAAGGAGATAAGTGGGAGAATGAGGTAGCAACTAATCCACCATCTCCTGACTCAAATCAAAGTAGAACCGAGCGAAGATATTGGTTATATACAGGCAAAACTAATTTAGAAATTTGTACACGCAGCAGTTACACACATTTTCTTTGATCTTAATACATCAAAAAATCATAATGGTGTTACCGCTGCCGTGCTCACAGTCATCAAGAGCAAAAGACACATTTTATTTACTGAGCCGCATTGACTGTAAATGGATAACTCCTTACCTAACTGACTGACTGACTAAACTATGACCGTGTTTTATAGAGGGTTGCCGCCTTATGAAAATATAGGAAAGAGGGATGAAAGCGCATTCATCCATGTCCTGTGCCCATTTGTTTTACACTTTTTGAAGTAAAAAAATAGCACAAAACTAACACAACACACATTTTCTGTTCCTACTACGAACAACGAACAATCCATTATTTCGATTCGCATATTGTTGTGGTAGAAAGTATGAGCAAAGTGAGCTAACTAGCGGATAGATAAGGCCGAGTAAAACTCATTTGTGTTTTGTCATTATGATGCTACGTGTTGCTATTTTGCTGTTCAGTCAGAGAGATGGCTTTAATTATATACCATACTTGACGAGAGTGGATGTTAACATGTAGTATTTTTACTTGACTCCCGACTTGGTAATGGACGCTGCAACAAGTCGGGAGTAAATCCTATTATAATTATATTCCATTGTCTGCCTGGCTACACATGTATTTGCAAAGAATAGGCATTAACAACTCAATATTTCCTGTAAATGAACTTTCAACAAGAAATTATTAGTTTTTTATTTAGAAGACGAAAACAGGTCCAGGAAAATTACACTTTATTATTTTAGAGAGACCTCTAAAAAATGGAAAATTTATCACTTTTACTTTGACTACAGAGATAAGAAGAGTGGATTGATTAACGTCTCTTTCATGTTTTAATTAGTTCCTTTCTTGTGTTACACTTGTTGACTTTAATAACGCCAAAGTTTACCACACGGCTTCTCTTTAATACGCCTTTAGTGAATCTTAAAGTGTGGCCGACGAAATTGGCAGTGTGTCGAAAGGATTAATGTAAACAAATATCTACTGATTACCATTTGCATAAAGAAAAGTGAATGAATCTGAAGGTAATGAGATCGTAATACGATTATGGCAGATTTTTGAGATCATGCTGTTCATGATCCTTGTTTGACGAGAGGGAACAAAGAGATTTTTCTTACAAGCAATGCCAAGTCATACATAATGCAAATAACAAAGATTATGATAAAAACCTATTAACACTAAGTATTTACTTGGCAGAAAAAAATGATGTGCTATCAATCACTTATTTTTTCTCGCTTAAACCTGATTAAAACTAGAGAAGGAAGCTGAATAAACCAATTAACAATTTCGCACCGCCTTGACCTACACCTAACCAAACGTAACCTCACGCCATTTATTTACTAATCTGCCAAAAACAAAGAAATAATGAAAAATGGAAAAAAGTGGAAAAAAATCTAACCCTCTTTGTTAATTCGTTACACAGAATTAAATTTCATTCCACCACATCAACTATGCGTATTCATAGCTGGGAGAGAGAGAGAGATCAAATCTATACAAAACCATGACTGAATTCTCTCTGTTTCACTTTAGTATATGATTTGAATGTCCTGTGTCGAATTGAATCTGACTTTTTTTTCTACACTCTTGAAGGACATGGATTGCCGCAAGGACTGAGCTTTAGTTAGTTAGCTAGACAAGTGAGTGAGTAAGAGAGATATGATGAGATTAAATGAGGCAAAAGTGGCAATAAAAAAGTCTAAATAAGTCCACGAGGGGATAGATTTGAGATTTGAGTCATATTTTAATATCGCCAAGAACCACCCACGTTAAGAACTACCTGCGAGACGAGTGTCTTTTTTTAAATAAAAACAATTACGTATTCTGCACAGGTAATAGTATCATGACACTTGTAGGGTGCACATACATAGATAGATATGAACGCCACCAATCTTGCATATGCATACACGAGGCAGCACATTTACGTGTTGACGTGTAGATCGGATGGGTCACTGATTCTAAGAAATTAAGATTCAAATTAAGAAAATAGTCTCGACTGTTTCTTATCTTGCATGGATGGTGAGGCTGCATAAATAAATAGACAAGATAATTTTTATATGCTTTAAATCATTTTAAATTCGCTAAAACTCGCATTGTCTTTTCTAAAATGAGAGTCGTAGATAATTGCAGAGAAATTACATCCAACTTCCTTGCTAATTAAAGGGGGAACAATGCATCAAATTTAAGACCAAGATAAAATTGTTCTTACAAACGTAAAAAGTGCCATTGGCAGTGAAAGTGACTCTGCTTCCGCAAAAGGAGGAGCGTCCCCCTCCAAAACTGGAACCACACCCGGGCCACGACAATGCAGCCAGGTCGTCTTGGACTAATTGGTTATTTTCGTGAAGAAGTATGGATGGCAGGAGGATTAACTGGTCCATAATTTGTGATATTTATAATAATGGCGAATTTGAATTTGCACTTGATTTTTCTTATATATACTGGCAAGGATTTTTCTTTAAGAACACGGTTTAATATGGAGAATAATATAATATTTTCACTTTTATGAGATCTCAATTGCGAGATTACAGAAAACTTTTGAGAAAAAAAAATTTACAAAAAATACAACGTATGTATAAAACACACCCGGATTAAATGCATGTTTGCTAACAACTAAACTTTTACGATTTAACACAGAATTATAGGCACACTTTGACGGGGTTGTGATTTACAGAGGGAAAAAACTTTAAAACTCTTCCACTAATAACGATGATGACACACTGGTGGCCGCCGCGTATCTCTGCTGTAGCGTTGATGGATTTGATCATTTGCACATGGAGATGAAACAAATTTTATAATATCCTCCTGGAATGGGACAACTAACGTGCGACACTGTGACGTGATGACAGGGGAAATATATATCCAATCCACCTCGTGTTCTGCCTAATTCGACAACCACATGCAAGTGACTGAACGGCAGGATTGGAATATTTTGGAAATGGCAAAAGAGATCCAATGCAACTCGTAAAATTCAAAAGTTTCTTCTTCTCTTTACATGACGATGATATTACTCATCGCAGCACAATCCAAACCAAACCAAAGAGTGAGATGATGATAAGAGAGGTAAGTAAGGTCTCTACTGTAGCCTATGCATTTTATTAACTTCACCAGCCCACCAGTCGTCGTCCACCATTATCATCACTACTGAATACATACCACCACGAGAAGAATCATATCATGGCGTAAGAAGAATATTGTTGTCTCTTTTACACATAGACGGATACACACAAAGAGAGAGACCAATGTTGGTAACAACTCGTTAGATAGCTGGTGATGATAAACTAGTTAGTTAATAAAAGTTGGTAGCTTGAATGCATACAAGATGGATTTTGATCTAAATCAGTCTTCGCCCAAATCTGACAAACTTTGCGTATCGGTTAACAACTAACACGCTGAGTTGGATCGAATTATTGGGGAATGTTTCATGATTTTTTTTATTCCTTCTCTAGATAAAACGTACCTTGACACTAACAAGAACTTTTTTAAACCTATTATTTAAACCTTTGTATGTACGAAGCGATAGGTAAACTTTGACTGATTTGATTTTGCTCGTGGTGGTGGTGATTGTTTCATTTCATTTCATTATGTTTTATTTTAATTTGTAAGTTTACTAACTTTTGTGGTGCAATTTTGGTCAGGGTATTGTCTTCCGTGAACAAAAGAAGCCTGTGCGTACAATTACATGTTTTTCTTTTCGACTACATTTAATTTGACATTTTGCTGCTGCTGCTGCTATTGATATGAAAGTTTACGATATAATTTGCTATTTAACTCGTGGTGGCTTATTATCCAACCACTACTGACAATAATATACTTTTTCGATTATTATGATAAATTATGATATGGGAACCGCCAAACGAGTTATAGGGAAGGAATGCAAGTCATAATTTCCATATAATTATTCCTCATTACGACAAAATTAGATGCATTGTGTGTCGAAAAGTGGAATGCAAAATTCAGCCAAAAGCCAAACCACCGTTATGATTATTTTTATAATAATAACGCAAAAATTGGAAAGGTTTCTACAAGGAAGGTTTTTTTTCTTTGAAAATTAAGAATTGTTTGCTTTCCTATTGACTTTTTGAGACTGGCATTGGATTTGTTACGTAATGTGATTTTATTGAATTTACATAAGTATGTATCATCATACGTATCTATGTAGCAAATAATTTCACCACCAATAATTTTTGACATACTTACTTATTAAGAAAAAATAACGGCCTTGGCTTGCTATTTAATTTTAATGCAATCAATTTCCACTTAATATTCAACCCATCGCATTTTTTGACAAAACGAGTCAATTAAAAGTGAGCAATAATCGATAAATCACACCCACACAGCCAGCGTCAACCAGACAGAGTGGTTAAATTTCACAAATATTCAAATTAATCGACTCTTAAAGAGGGGAACGCCTTTTTCCAATGAGAGAATTTGCTTAAAAAACGCAAACATCACAAAAAACAATACTCGTTGTCGTCGTACTGAAAGGTTGATTGACAAGTTAACATCAATGCACTTGTCAAATCACTTTTTCTCATGCACTGCCTGAGATCTCTCTCTACATTCAATTCATCAGTGGTGGAATTGAATTTGCATCTCATCCGACTACGAAATCGAGTCTTGTCGTAAAAAAACATCCATGCTGTTTCTACTGCCCCACTTCCTTCCTTCCGTTCTTAATTGATGTTTAATTTATGCTAATGCTTAAGCAAACTGACTCCCATTAACAAAAGCAAAGACAAAAAAACTCGGAGGGTATCGCTTTCTCTCAAAGTTGTTGCGTAATCATTTCGTCATCATCTCAATTTTCCAGCATGTTCTTTCAATTCAATTATTACCAAGTCATGGCCAACTTTTAACCATAAGGAAAATGTGATAATCACCCAATTTACGACAGAAATGGGAAAAAGAAAATGAACAAAAATATATAAATTACCAAACTCCATCTGTAGTTCCTCCTCGTAAAGTCGCATCGCGTTGGTTTGGCGTAATACCGTTGTGTGTGGTCGTAAATTTGCCAACTTTTTCCACAACAATTTGTCAATAATTTGCAAACTATTCACTTAACAAGTTGTGATTATATGTTGTTTTGTGGTGGGGTCCAGTAGTAAAATTGTATCACGATCAAATATGAGAAATGTTCGTACAACCACAAAACTCGTGTGTTTTTCCAATGATTAATGTCTCGTTAATGATGAAGGAGGAGTGAATCATCCAGAAGTCGAACTAAACATCGTCGCATGTTAAAAGATATTTTGTTTTCTGGGCATAAAGATAAAATAAGGATTTGATATCAGCAAAAAAAACAGCGAATCGACTTGTCAACCCCCCGTTTTTTTTGCTGTTTAGATAATTTTTATTACACAAAGTAGCCTTCTTCCGGTGCCTTGTCAATCAGCACTTTCAATTATTTTGCTATCTTTCTTTTATCCGTCGCACAAAACAGATACGATGTATCTCTCTTTTTTTCTACTCTGCTGTAAAATGTGACAACATTAATCAAATCTCTTTACAATCTCCTGCCAAAAAAAGACACCATTACACTTTGACTTTGACAAAAAACCGACACAAGAAGCCTGCACAAGCTACACGATTCTGTAAGTAATGTGTGTAAAAAGACTTCTTTAAACGTTTGGATCTTAATTGGCTAATTTATTGTGCTACACGACGCTCTCTCTTGTATACAAGAAATGAGAAAAGGAAAGGAATTTTGGTGGGTGTGACGACGATGGAATAAGAGTCTAATGCTTTACAACAGACTTAGGCAGATGGGATTGTGAAAACCACTATTAAAATAAATTATCTAGTGGTACAACAAACAATACGGGTTGAGAAGGGTGAGAAGATTGGATAAAAAAAGTGTTGCTGCTTTTTAAGGACTGAAACGAATTGGAATTTCTATTTCATTTACAGGGTAAGTTTCTCACAATTCTTTCTCCTGATTGAATTTCGGGTAGGGTATGTGTGTGGTTGCACACTTATTGGTTTTCGGATCTTGCAGCAAATGACAAAATGGCTAAAAATAGAAAATCTAAATACAAATCTTAAACAATTTCTTCTCGCACCCCTTTTTTCAACTCTTTAACACGAATCTTGTGAAACGTAATCAGGTGCTGGTGGGGAATTTTACACTGTTTCCCTTAAAAGGAGTACAACTAAACTCTCTTTTCTGAACAATAATTAAGAATATGTCTTCAAGTCACAAATGCACTCGCTGAACTGAGCTGAAGACCAAGTCAGGGCGTAAGCAAGGTGAATAAAAATCAGATCATCATCAAACATAATAATATTTTAAAACCTCAAGAAAATTGTGTGCCTTCCCCTTCCAACCGCAACAAAAAGATGAGAGATGAGAAAGATGAAACATGGCTTTCTTTCCATTCAGAGAAGCAAAAGGTTAGGAATGGACGAGGTAATTTAATCTCTCTCTCAACTTTTTCTCTTAAATTGTGAGCATAGCTTGGGTTTCATGTGTGCAAATATTTAATATGCGATACACTGTAAAAAGTAGGTAACCGACCACTAAGTTCGTAATTGATGTAACAAAAGTTGAAGTAGGGAGGAGATTTTTAATCTTTGACGAAGTACTGACAAGTTCTGGTTCGTTTCTGCACTAATAATGTAATCAATTTAGAATCAAGTGCAGTTAAAAAAATATAGTAATGCGCAAAGGAGGAAGATTCTCTATACAAATTCTTGATCTGATTAAGCAAATCTTCTTCTTCCAACTCAAGAAGTAAATTTGTATGTCAAAGATTTATCAATTAATCAAATTAATTGAATGTACGTGCAAATGGAAGAGTTGTTGTTACTGCTTATATATTTTTGAGAATAAATCGACAACAACTGCATTAAATAAAATTCGGACATGGTTAAGGAACCAAAACGGCCCATAGGAAATCAACCTCGAAGGAAAAGGAGGAGGAATAAACAACAATAACAACAAAACAAGGGTCTTGTTATAGTTTTTTATTAGGAAATAAAACTACAAGGCTAATTAAAATCAGTGAGAGAGATTAAAATTTATTATTATTTTAGTACCCGTTGTACCGTTATAAGCACATCTTCAAGTATGCAGCTATGCCACTTAAGAAGGGATCAAAATAGAAATTTATTTTTACCAATCAATCAACAAAACGAATACCTACATGTATTCGTCCGCATTATTTTACTTAGCAAGTGTTCGACATCAATGAATTTATGCAAAATTAAGGGAAAATTCAATTAAAAACCAATCTAAATCAATCCCCCGTAAAATATCTTGCCTCACATTCATCAAGTTCTATACACATGTAATTCCCGATGCTAAACGTATCACTGCAAACAAAGCATTTAGAAAAGTACAGCTTACTTTACACAACTTCTTCACAATGTAATGTTGCATTTCCATTACACGACTTTTGAATGAATTGAGCCGGCCGGTGGTGGTGTTGCTAACTTGTTTATGAACAACTTACACCTGTTGTGATGATGTATTGTTAAGAAGAAAAAGTATCATGCCTTCGTATTTCTAATGTGTTGCTGCTGCTGCTGCCGATATCTCAACTCTGTGTGCGAATAAGTTGAATTAATTCCGACCCCGATCCCGATGTAATCAGACGTCACGTCAGGCATGATGCCATCTCAATAGGAATCATAGCAGGTTGCCGAGTCCTCCGTTGTTTAATTCAATTCATGAAACCTTCATCATTTATTTATTTCCACACGGCTACTACCTAACTGACTGGCTGATGATTGCAAAGAGTGATAAATACGGACGGACAGAAGGAGTGATAAGTGTTTTACACAGGGTTGAAGAATTGATGGAATGTCTAGATTTTATCACAAAATTGACAAAATGTATTATTTATTTTTTAGATGGGGTGGGTTGAAATGGATTCTCAACTCGGCAACAACAACTCGACAACAATCAGTAACATTATACTAAATGTGATGATGAATAATGGGGACCTTAATTTTTTGACGGCACGATTTTTCCATCCATTATCTTAATGCTCAATTCCGTTTTAATTAAAAAATAGCCTCACCACCACCACTCAACTATTATTCATCAAGACATCACAGTCTCAATTAAGATGAGGCTATTAATCAAAATCAAACGAATTAAGAATTCATCAGTATCATTATTACCGTCGACATTTAAATATTTCACATGGATGGCGTTTGGTTTAAAATGTGGAAAATCATTCATTCAAACTTTCAAACGTTTAAGTAGATAGAAAATCCACCAATTTACGAGTCATGCTGCATAATTGCATCTCTTTTTCTCTCTCCCTCTCTCTCTCTCTCTACCTTGAAATCACCAATAAATTCAACTAAAAAAGACCAATAAAACAATCTGCACCATTGTATCAAACCTAAAACAGCACAGAAAACAATTCAAGCGACACGAGCAGAAAAGTGCAACGCTTTTAAATAAAGAAAAGGTCTGAATAGCATATCACCAGCACCACCACAATATAAAGATGATCATCTCCATCCACTGTTCATTCATACTTTTATTTCGTTGCACCTGCTTTCTTTCCCCCCTCCTCGATGATCGCCATCTTATATATTTTCTACATTATGATGTTACTCGAAATAATTTCAGAACAATGAACTTTTAAGTTACAACTTTATAGTACAAGAAGAAGAAGCGGAGATAAGATGACCCTGCCCTGTCTTCTATTTCTTAAAACCCAAGACCGCGACCACCATGACCAAGTAGGTGGAAAGTATATCTCACAAGTCAAATAAGAGCCAAAAAATCCAACCATAATGATGGGATCATCATTACATTATTATGAACGAGAGGTGGGTGAGACTGCAGTTCAAATTCGCACAAATGTAGGTGAGTTCTTCATCTTCAAGTGCAGATTTTTAATCACAGTCTCAACAACCATCATGCCCACTCGGCATGACCAAAAAAGTGTATCAAATATCACCAGTGAAGAGTTGGAACCTTTTTTTCTCTCTCTCTTCCTTAACTCGCTACATTTTAAATTGTGTGTGTAATGTAAAGTAAATAGATTGTGGAGTGTAAAATTGCAAAAAAAGTTGATTCTAAAAATTAACACACACCGGTGACAAGCTAAATTACATATGTATTGGCATCGGCTTATCTGTATATTCGACATAAAATGAAATTTAGTTGTACCTTGCTTTAAAAAAATGACGATTAAACCCTTTTGTTCTTGCTGGGTAATCAGATTATTACAAGATTTGTGACACGAAGTCAGAAAAATTAATGTCACCGTAATTTTCCAAGATTCATCCATTCTACGTTTTTGTACAAGGAATTGGCTACACATGACATGTTCAAACACAAACAGCGATAAATTTAGACCTTGCTACGCATCAAAGTATGTACGTAATCCACGTAGATAGATAGCGATACCAAATTCCTCCGCGCCAAGCATAACTTATCAACTAGTGATATCCATTTGTACATATGTGACATGATAAATTATGATAAATTGTCCTCCACCCTTGGGAAAATAGTTTCACAAACAAATAGTACAAATTCCGACCTATAAAATTATCCATCCCTTCGTCATGCGCCGATCGATTTGCTCTTCTCATATTCTTCTTTAAGCAACATGCGAGTCACAAGACATCGAACTCTACTTTTCCCTTGCAAAAACTAAACTTTCTCCAAGCTGGAATCCGCTCTAATCTTATCTTTCTCCCCAAACACTACGACTGACCTCACACTTGTACAAATTAAGTAACCCTGCATACAATGAATGAATTATGCATGACAATGTCGTCACTATTATTATTATTGCTCAACATTATTGGATGTATTGCTTATGTATTATTAACCAAGTAAGTAGCAGCAAAAGTGAGCCTATCCCACAATTTTCCACCTTATCCAACTCCACCAAGAGTGGTCGTACCAGTTTGTTTTTTGTTTCCTCCTCCCCCTCCAACCTTCCCGTCCCTTTGGGAACCCTTCCCCCTAATTAAGAGTAAAGTGGGGGGTATAAATTTCAAAAAATATCTCTCACCTGAGTCCTTCCCGTCCGGAATCTCCATTTGCACAGCAAATTGTGCGCATGTGTTCCTTTACAGAAAGGTTTTAACACAGACAAGAGTAGAAGAACTGACTGCATGCAGGCGAGGGAATATTACATACAACTCGAATTTGGTGATGATAAAGACTTGGTCGTCGAGAGGGTATAAAGCATTGGATTGACTGCAATAACGTGTAATACGTACAAATGGAGTACCGTATAGTGAAAATGCATGTAGTAGATTGTGGTTTTGGTACTTTTTTAGCTTTAGCACAGTATACACGTAATGTTGAGTCAGTTAAAAAGCTACATAATGCTGCTGCATGCATGCTCACTTTGTCTTCTTTTTGGTTTTTAACCCCTTCGTTTGCAGCATCCTTTAGTTAGTTGGTAATAAACACCAACGCAAAAAGGGAGAGATAGCAGCAGATACGACGGATAGTTAGATTGGTTGTTGGTGATGATGATGCTACTCGCCTGCTGCTGCTGATGTGCTCTTTGACGACACAATCTCTTTAAAGCCATTTTAGATTAACGTTAAACAAGTTAGATAAGTTGTTAAAATAGACAAAGTAGTGAGGGAGAGGTGAGATGAGAACAGATGTAATTCGATATTGGATTGGATACGATGGGGTTGCATATGATCTTTTGTGTTATGAGTTGTCTGAGATCATTGCATCTTGTTGCATCCTGTACGTAAGTGGTTATGTAGCATATGTATGTACGTAGTGGCAAATGGCTGGTGCTTTATGGCGACGAGAATATATTGGGGAATACATATATTATTCGGCTGGTCATGCCCATGCATTTATTTTATGGATGCATGTATACTCTAAATTGTGTGCAGATCTTTTTAGTAGGAGAGAAAGAGGGTTATGCATAATTAGTTTTGTGCATGCATGAAATTTGATGCCTGGTGGGAATCAAGAGCAGACTTAAGTAGGAGTAGTGGAGGACGAAATGTATGTTTCAAGTTGTGTAATCTAATCTGTACTACTTGAGATTGCAATTATTGAAATTTTAGCATGCAGTTTATGCAGTCATAACACTAATTCATCCTAAACAATGATGTTTTCTATCTAGAATTCATAAATTAGAGACACTTCTTTCCGTGGAATGTCAACAATTTCTCATATTATGAAATTTGCAACTCCTCATTAATTTTTTTTACTTATCTGTGCGTATGAAATAAATAACTTTAGGACAGGAAGTACTCATCAAAAAGGACGAAAGGGAAATGTACCATGATTGATCACGTATAATGATCGCAGTCACGTAACATTGTGCTACCATATTTAACCACAATATTAGACGACATCCTTTTGTCATAATATTCTATGACTGATTGTTGTGAATGGCACATTATTGAGCATATCGAAATAAACGTGAATAGCATTTGGTATGCGTAGAACATGCAGAGAATTTAATTTCCACCGAGCTTGGCTACCTTTCAGTAGCGAACTTAATATTCAAATTCGTCAATCCGTCAAACCAAAATTGGCCAGGACAACAAGTTTGAGGAGAGAGATTGACAAAATAGGAAATGAAGAAGAATCTCAAGTATTTCGACAGGATCAGGAATGTAAAGTCCTTGCCCGTAATGGGCAATCTTGTATCCTATCCATCCATCTATCAAATTTGTTGTAAGCATCACTGGCGAATATAATGCTATACAATGAATTATGGGCACGAGTTTGATTAATGTTTATTTCATGATTCGAGGGTTGAGACTCGAGAGAAAATTATAACATTATTATATCATTATGAAAATAATGATGGTACGTTGGCTGAATTAACGATTTTACAATTAGTAGTAGCCGCAAAACATTTAGAAAACATTATGCATTATTGAAAGAAAAAAAACTAATAAATTCTTAGAATCGTGTCGTCATTTATGTTTCTCAATTGTGAGTCAGATCAGAGGGGATCAAATGCTATGTGACTCACACCGTGAGAGAACCGCATGTCCAGCATTAGCAAAGTCCAAGAGATCAATAATTCAATAAAACGCAACAACAAATCAACACGACTCAATGTCCTTTCCCGTATAATTTTATTATGTATGAACCACATTTCGCTTGCCATGAACCCTCAAACTTAAAAGGAAAACAGTGTGGTCATGTGACAACCTACTGCGGAAAAGGAAGCCAAGTCCCCAACTGACCCTGTGTCCTTTTATCGCGTCCCTTTTGATAAAACTGGTCAACTGACTGTACAAAGTCCATGTTTAAACGAACCCCTTTGAACAATACCTTAGCGTCCTTTTTACCATGGGACATTTAGCCCTTGTCAAGAAATATATAGGGAGGATGACTCATTTTATGTACATATGTACACAAATACGTACCAATCCAGTTTATTAGAATAGCATCATCATCAACATGAATACGCAGTGCATTATACGATAATCACAATACGAATGAACTGTCTACATGAATACAAATGCTACTGTGCTGCTATTTGTGCTTATTATCAAAATCACGCAATATTATTATTAAGAACTTGGATATCTATCTATTACTTACTTATTACTGAACCATATATACATCCATAACATGACAAAAAGTATGTAATATTGTAACGTGTTATTTAAGTGCTGCTGGTGAACGTGAATGGTGTGAGTTAGTAAGTAACCTTCTCAACCCATAGCAGTATCAGCAGTGAGAATAGTGCGATATGTGTAGAGGGGAGGATGGAGAAAGTCACACTTACAGAAAAACTTATTAAACTCTTCTTGGTTAATTTCATTAATGGCATGACAGCCCGTACAACAACTTTAACTTGAACAAATTGACTCTTTATCCAGTAATAACAGAAACAAACGTGTCATTACAACATATAAAGTTCAGTTTCAGCGACAGAAAATCCCTGTAACGCATCATTATTTTTAAATTGCACGTCAAAATTGATTCTGTTTGAAGTTTGATAACACTAAATGTTTAAACGATTCCAGTTTTTGTTCATTTATTGAATTCCAATACGTCGTCACAAAGCTAAGCAAATCGTGTTCATTTAGTGTAATAACAAATAATAAAAGTTAATACACAAACGTAATAAGTTTGATCTCTACATAACAAACTTTTATCCAGTATACATTCAACAGTCGTAGATCGAAGTGGTCAAAGTCTTAATCAAAATCAAAAGAGAAGTCAAAGTGGTCAAAGTCTTAATCAAAATCAAAAGAGAAGTCAAAGTGGTCAAAGTCTTAATCAAAATCAAAAGAGAAGTCAAAGTGGTCAAAGTCTTAATCAAAATCAAAAGAGAAGTCAAAGTGGTCAAAGTCTTAATCAAAATCAAAAGAGAAGTCAAAGTGGTCAAAGTCTTAATCAAAATCAAAAGAAAAGTGTGGAAATATTTTCTCGGCGTCAAATAATAACGATTCACGACGGCGTTTTACAAGAGACGAGTTCCAGAGTTGATACAAATGCGAGACATAATGGATCCTATATTCGACTACCAATTCAGACTAGTATGGAATAATTAATAGAATATTATGACCATATTACAGAATATTACTATAAATTATTAATATTATATTATACAGATATTAATTGGCGATACGACAGTGGGCAAAAGCACGCTGTTGAGGTATTTCACGGACGGAAAGTTTTTAGAGGTATAAGAGAAATTTACAAAATATTTTAATTCGGACATAAAATGTTACAATTCGTTTGGTTCTCATCACTCAAGGTTTCAGATCCCACGGTTGGAGTGGACTTTGTAAGTTATGATGATGACATCACTCACTACTTATCAAATGATTCATGTAATTCTAACCAAATAATTTTTCAACTAGTTTGCCAGACTCGTACAGCTACAAGACGGGACAAAGATCAAATTGCAGGTCTAGACAATTAGTTTTATGACTTTAATATTAGTTAATTGTATGTTAAATTATATTAAATTAAATTTTTGGATAAATTAGCTGTGGGACACAGCAGGGCAGGAGAGATTCAGGTGACTAAACAAATTATCAAAGAAATTACGAAAATCTGCTACAATTTGGCTTATCTGTGTATTTAGATCAATCACAAAATCCTACTATCGCAACTCCGTTGGAGCTATCATCGCATACGACATAACGTCTCGTGCTTCCTTTGAAAAAATTCCTAATTGGATGGCAGAAGCTAAAAAGCATATAGATCCCGTCGACCCAGTAAGTAACTATTTTTTTAGTATAAACAATTATTAACTACCTGTCCAATTCAGCAACTAAAAAATAATAATAATTTGCAGATATTTCTCCTCGTCGGATGCAAAGGTGACTTGACCAACATGCGTCAAGTATCGACGGAAGAAGGGGCCGCGTGCGCTAAGCAGTTGAACATCCATTTTCTCGAAACTTCGGCACGCACAGGAAAAAATGTGGAGGAAGCGTTTCAAACTGTGACGCAAGAGATTTACAACAAAGTGACGTCTGGTGATTATAAAGTTGACGATGAAAATTGGGAAGGCATCAAGTCCGGATTTGGTCATAGGAGTTCACAACACAATTCGGCCATTATTCCCGAAGCGATTCCAGAGAAATCAAAGTGCTGCTAATCAAAGTGCAAGTAGCGAAAGACTAAAGGTTTAAAAGTGGATGGAATTAATTGTTGCTCAGAGTTCATTTAGAGTTAATTACCATTCTGTCCGTTGTATTTTTGCAAACCGTGATCAATTACAAATTACCATTTAAATACAATTTTTATGTAACGACACTTTTAAAAGCGCTTTTTCGTTAATTACTTATGTAACTGTCCGTATTTATGTATTAAATTGAATGAGAATGGATGAATTTATTTTGTCGAGTGCTATGTAAGTAAAAACGTAATTGAGTATTTATGATTTTAAACAATAATATTCGTATAAATGTGGATGTTCCCAACCAATTTTAGGTTACCTTACGTTTTGTGCTATGTACGCAGTGAGATTTTTATTGATTCAACGTCTTCGACTTTTTAAACAATTTTAACCAGAGAACAAGTAATGTTTATACGATTTGACGATTAAATAGCATTTAGAAAAATTAATAAAATTGTTATTCTTGTAAACGAATTAATTATTCCGGAAACTTTCATCACCTTTCACTTATAATTGCAAGATTTCTTGGGCTAATTTCTGGATCGAATAACGCTACAATTTGGACATGAGCGTCGGGAAGGTTTTCTTTTATGAAAAGAGACCTGCAATAATTCTTTCGTTACTTTAAATTTAAATGTCACATTGTATGATTTATTATTTTACTAACCTATCCAAAATCACCAGCGTTTCGACAACATTCGCCACGAGTTGTCTCAATGAGAAAAATAAGACTACCTTAAACCAGTCTTTAAGCATTTTATCAATTTCTTCAGTCTTAAGGCTATCGTCTGATAAGTTAATATCCAAATTTTTCACGGCTTGATGAGCATATCTAAATTATATCATTTAATTTAATTAAAGCAATTAGGACTACTTGATTTAATATAACTATTTGATCCACATTACTCGCAAAATGATATTCTTTCCGCATGTTTAACCCCTTTCAATCCAGCCCTCTGAATTCCAAACTTCTGAACAAGTATGGTTTCCAATGCGGCGCGATAAGCATGAATCTATTAAGCATTTGTGTAATTTTGATATTACAAAAGGCGTTAGGACATGGTTTTGACGAATTCATGCCTTAATTGCGGGATGGATTTTAGTCGTAGAGATTTCTAACTTTTTTTATCTGAAAGCCCATGTCTCAAACTATAGGTAAGCATATCTGGCTTCCGATTTTGTGTACTCTGCGAAATGAGGCAAGGTCAAATTTGGAGAGGTGTCCTTTTTTAGTTTTCCAAACCAGTGTTCTTATAAAATGGCGTTGAACAAAATATTTTTTTCTGAGGTCCTGATGCAAAAATAGTTTTTGCGACTATTTTTAAGGGACTTAGCATGCTTTTCACTATATAAAACCACTTTTGCCTCATGCTTATCTTTTAAGTCCGTTTTACAGTCTAATTTCATACTTGTCCTAATGAAATGCGCTCTTTAACGCAACTCTTCCACTTTTAAGGCCCCCACATTTTACGACTTTGATGCTAAAAATCCCTAACGTGGTTTTTATCCAAGGTACATATAGTATATTGCACTGTAAGTACTTTTGACAAAATTTTGATAAGTGGTTACACCCCACGGACTGAGTTTTCATCAGACCTTATAAACTTTTTGGAAAAGTTCCCGTCGTTTTCGATGTCGAACTTCAGAAATAATTTAACTAACCAAAACGCAATAATTTTATTATTTTGTCACTTGTACCTTGTAGATAAAATAGTTCTGCAGCAGGGGACACCAAAAGATTATTAAAATTTATTTTCGAAAAAATTTGACCATTAATTTTCCAAATAAGTTCACGAGTTTTTTAGGATTCTGCGACAGCTGATTAGCTCGGGTCCTTCTATAAAACTGTTTACACAAAATCTTGACTGTTTGTTTTAATATTACTTAGGACACTTCCAGCTTTACCCTCAAGCTGCATTTGACCCGGTGGGTCAACTTTCAAGGTCAGCAGGTTAATTTTTCCGCGCACGGTCTGATTTATCATTTTTTGGGCAAACTATCCGCGATGATGGAAGGCCCACGTTGTGTGATTCATTACGGATTCTTTTATTATTACATGCAATGATTATCTAGGGTTATTATATTAACAATCATTCACCTCTGACCTCTTTGGTTATCATGCTATATAAGCAATTAAGTTTGGAAAGTGTTTTTTTGGCTTCTACCAACTCCGGGGGCACTGTAGGGTGCATTTGTGAAGCTAGCACCCTAAAATTTTAAAGATATCTTTTTGAGAGTATTATCTTGCAACCTACCAAAAATCAGTCCAAAATTCAACTCCCCGCCAAAGATATTCACCCGAGAATTCGTCAAAACCATCACCTAACGCCTTTTGTAAAAGATTGTATTTTTCCATGAAAAAAAATCACCATCAATTTCCCCACATGGTCACCCCTCAGTCTTTCGCAATACTGTTCAATGGCATGGCATGCAACCTCCAAGGCTTCATAGCTTAATCTAAATTCCTTCTCCGTCCCGTATTTACTCAGTGGAAACCTGACAGTTACATCAGTCACAATTTACCTCGTAAAAACTGTTGAAATCTAAACCACACATTTTTTATTTACCCATTCCCATCCATTTTTTGCCAACAGCATCCCACCGAGAGGGCAAACTTGGCTGGAGAATTTACATAATTGTGAATTATCACAGGACCCAAGTTGCCACAAGAGTGGAGACCCACAATGCCAAAATTCTCGTCTTGAAGTTGTAACTCTTTCTCATGTTTATTCAGCTCTAATCGGGCACATATATGGATCGGTGGTCTGCTATGCGATCCTGCTTTCCTCTTGGTGAGAAATGATTCCAACTCTGAATCGAATTTTCTAACAATAAACATAAACAGTTGAAATTCTAGGAAAAATGTAAAAATATATTTTTCTTGGTGAAATCTCTCACGTTGCAGATTCTCCGAATTTATTGACACAATCGATACATGTTAAATTCAGAGAGCAGCCGTAGCTCAAATATCTCGAGAGATGACCTAATCCTGACCCCACGTCGAAAATGTGCGAGGTGGAAGATGAGTTGCACATTTTGGAAACGACTGAGCAAAAGGAGATGATTTCATGACGCTTTTTCGGTTTCACATGTCGACTAAAGAGAGTTTTGAATTCATCGACGTAATCGTCACTCTTCTCGTCATTCTGCCCATCGATAACAAGTCGTCTGTTTAATGAGAGCAGCTTTACTGTAGATCTCAACGCGAGTAAATTAAGGGGAGGAATTTGCTTTCTGCCCGAAAAAAAATGTAGATGATTTTTACAACGAAATGACGTTGACAAATAGACAGGCAGTTTTACATATAAAATAGTAAACCTTTTAAGCGAGGCTTCCCATCCATGTTTATTCGAAATACTGTTGAAATCCAGTAAATCTGCTAAATCGTGAGATTTCAAGGTTGGTAAAAAATCTTGGCAAGACAGAGGTAACATATTCCAGTGACTTTTCTCGTAAAAGTCCTAAATTTTCAAAACTTTCGGCTTTATAAGTTATCTCATAAATATTTGAATTTTGAATACACATACCAAAACAAAACTGTCAGCCAGCCAGGCAAATTTTGAGAGAAACTTGTATATCAAACTCATCCAATGACGGGTTTCTTGTTCTTGTATGATTACCATCGTATCAACATCGGTAGGACAGGAGAGAGAGATGGAATTTCATGTATTGAAACTAGATTTCCGGCTCATCCGTCACTTTCAGCTCTTTTACTGTTCCAGAAACAAAGTTCATTATTTTTTAACATTGCAGCATATCCATCCGCGCTCTACGAAATAAGAACAAGATGCGGAGAAGTTCAAGAGCTAAAAATACCCAGAAATCATGAGAGAGAGACGCATTGAAAAATCAACCAAAAATAGCAAGTCCAACTTAAACTCGGGATGGATAATGCGGATATGATTGAAGGGGGAAAAAACTTGCAAGTAAATATCCCACCCAACTTAAACGTCGTCTTTCTTTTCGCTTGGTCCTTATAACACGGCGAATATAATTTCAGTTGGCTAAATCAACTCTCAACGAACTGAGTGAAAGTAGATTCCCCTGAGTCACAGCTTTTTTCATCAATCTGAGCAAATCATTGATTAAAATGGATTCTCATCCGCATCATCATCATCACCAAATTGCGAAATCAGTCCAAAATCTCCTCCAAATTGTGGACCTCAACTACCGATTGAGATGGCGATCTCTCCCAAATATCATCATCCCCACGACAGACCACCACCACGACTGTGAATATTATCACCACCCCTCCGAATTCAATCCGGCGTGTAGTTCCACCTCCACAAAGAATAAGAACAGTCACAAAATACTAAAGAAAACTTGGGACAAAGTGAAAACGGCCATAATTCACACTACAACATCCCATTCTAATCGGAGAACAAGCTTAAACAAAGCATCAAAATTGGATTCAAGCTCCAAGAATTTACCCCCAACTTGCTCCGCACCCTCGACACCGTTACAAAAGCAAACGTTTGACTTTGACAATCCAACCTTAATTTCTTCACCGTCAGTTTCACCCCCTACGAACTTTCTCCTTCGTTCCGTCTCCGCCAACGCGGGCGAAATGACCACTGACGCCACGGAACATGTCCCAAATTTGGAAGAAGAATCCCAAAAAATCCAACAGAGTTATGCCAATCTTCAAAAACGCTTATCTCAAGAGCTCCACCAACGAATGTCCGAACATCGCCCGGACACGAATAAAACCGCGATAGACAACTTATCCGAAGATTTTAAAAAGAGACTCCGCCAATGGGAAATGTGGAAATTCATCTCAACCGGAAAAGTTACGTATACCGATGAAGAGTTACAGCAAATTCTTCCGGAAGACTTTTCACAGCGGTTACACGAGTGGGAAAACATCAAGCACATGAGTAAGACACCGGATTCGATGAGAGAAACATCTTCCCCGGAAAAAATTACTCCATGCAAGAATAAACTTTTAAGGAAGAAAAAGAGTTCGGCGTCAATTTCGACATCGGTGGCGAAAGGAGAAGAGGCGTCGTCGTCGTCATCATCATCTTCTCGACAGAAAGAGCTAGCCTGGCTGGAGAAGCAGTTGGAGAAGATTGAGGCAGAGAAGAAGCGTTTGGAGAGAGAGATGAAGAAAAATATGGAAAGGGAAGCCAGGTTAGAAAAGATGAAGGAAGCACTGCAAAATACGAGAAGGAGTGAAGAAGTCTGGATAAGGACGCCTACAGCAAAGTGCAAAGTAGAAAAGTTGACGGTAATTAAGTAACTAAAATTAAAATTTGTCTAAAATGAAAGTTTGTATTAATTTTGGGTAGGAAAAATTTACTAAGAAATTATACGAATGGGAAGAAATGCGAGGAATCCAACCGGAAAGTTCAACTATGGCGTTGCTCCATCCGAAATATTATGGACCTCCGCCTGAAGAAGGGGAGGGTGCAGAGGAAGAAATGGAGGCCAGAGTTCGGGCGGAATTTGCCAAAACGAGATATGACGATGACACTCCGGCCAGAGACAGTGAAAGCAGGAGGGATGAGAACGAGGAGGAGGAGGAAGAAGGGGGCACGACGGAACACGAAGATAATTATGACGAACATGATAAGCCACGACTACTTCTTAATGAACAGGAACAGAGAGTAGGTCAAAAAAAACGGTTGAAAATTAACTTTGGTAACTAATAATTGAATACTTTCCCCAGATTTCTTCCGCCTCAAGTTCCTCTGACTTTGAAGAAGCCACGGATTCATTCGCCACCCATGAAAAGGCAAACTCTGGCGCCTCCAACACCACAGATTCTGATTTTTACCGTGCCGAGTTTCCTACATCCTGTCGACGGAGATCTTCTGAACCGATTTCTACCCCTTTGTCGGCACGAAGCCCATCCTTGTCAGCATTCACCAGTGATGATGAAGTGGAAACATGCGGTCTGCTGAAAACGGTTAGTGAGGAGAACGAGAGTATTATGGGAAACAATACAATGTCAAAGGATGCGGAATCGCAGACGGAGATTATTCTAAAGGCGAAACCAGTACTCGTCGAAGATGATGAAGAAAACGAGGAGAATTTAGGCGGTGAAGAATCTGGGGGAATTTTCGTGCAGACAAAGAGAACTATTTTTACACCCATTTTGGATGAGGTAGATTCGGAAGAGAAAGTAGTATTGATTGAAGGGGGAGATTCATTAAAGTCACCTTCACTCATAAGAAAAGTAGTCCAGCAGAGTCATCCCTTGGAAGTTAGGACGGTTTCACCAATCCGAGATAACATTCTGCCGGCAGATTTTCTCCCATGTTTCAGCTCAAGCTCGAATTCCTTCTCGTTTGCACCTAAACCTGGAAGAACGTCACCTCCAAGTCCCCCGGGAGGGAAGTTAGCGACGACGCTGCTTCCGAGACCACCACGAGTTGTGGAAATGATACCCAAAGTACCACCTCATGCGTCAACGTCTCAGACAATGGGACAGAAAAGTTTTCCGAAAATGGGTAAGATTCCCATATGGTGTTCTCCCCTGGGGACACGGCATCATTTAGGCGGTGGGTCAATCGGTGGTGATGGAGGTCACGCTTCTGAAGCCGACCTCACTTCAAAGCAACATTCCTCCTCCGTAGATTTTAGTGGTACGTTTCTTCTGACGGAAGCGAATCTTTATGATAATCATAGCTCATCAACGGTACCCTGTTCGTCGACATCTTTGGTGATGGGGACCTCAAATCCACCACCGAGTAAAATTCCGTACTCAAAAACTGGAGTGAAACGGGGAAATATTACTGGAGTCGTGGTACCCGAAGAGAGTGGAATTGTGGGGGCGTCAATTCAAACGGGGCAACGACACCCTGCCTTTCTTCCTGTGCGGTCAAATTCTTTCAGAATTCATCGAAATATGATGGGAGACCAACCTGGAGGGGATGGTAATGGGTCATCGTCGTCAGCAGCAGCAATGACGAGCAGGCCGAGAGAAACGGGGAGTGGTGCTACGAAGGGAGGATTCTACGCCCATTTGAAAAGTCGCGTTGGAGGAACGGTATCGAAGTCTCGGAGTACGGGTTACATAAGAAGTAAATTTGACAAAGCTTTGTCAAGTTTCACCAGTAAAATTACCTCAAAAGAACACGGACATGGCTCACCTACAACGACAAATCCCACTGGGGAAAGAAATCAGCTACCACAATAAATGCTATAATAGTGGGGGTATGGTTGGCAGTACAGACAATAATTAAATAATTGTGTATTATCAAATTTATAATTGTGAAGTAATCAGAAATCTAACATAGTATTTTGATATGAACCATTTACTTATGAAACGAGCAAGACTCAAATTATGATGCAAATAAATTCTAATTATGAAATTCTGAAAGTTTTTTCGTTATTCAAAAATAAATCAATTGCTTACCTTTAATTTTGATCAGCTCCGCCTCCGCCCCATGAACGCGCATTAAATTTTGTCAATTTTCAATTTTCAAACCAATTTGTGAAAATGCGAATTATTTTTTAGCGAGATGAGCGAGAAGAGCAGCCGGAGACAAAACGTGCCTGCACTTTCGCGGTGTGCTGTGAATTAAACACATTTTGAGAACAACGTGGATTTTGGTGAAAGTTGAAGAAGTACAATTTTTAAATAAATATAAAGTAAACTACTGCAAAGGTTGACCTAAAATAAATAAAATTAATTAAAAATGGGTCGCCGTGTCCCCGAGGAGATCAAGGCAATCCCTCAATCACAACGGCAAATATTAGCAATTGGCGAAATAATCCAAACTTTGCTGACCCAGTCAAACAACAAGTCGAAAGATAAGCCGAGTGATGAAACCGTGACCAAATTGAAGGCAAGGATAAGTGGAAAGTATGGATTGGAATCGTCTCCTAAACTTACGGTAAGATAAGCCAACCAAGTAATTATTAGTTATGAAATTACTTACGTATCCAATTATAGGACATTATCGCCGCTGTTCCAGTCGAGCATCGGAAAGCTTTAATGCCAAAGCTGAGGGCGAAACCTGTCAGGACGGCGAGTGGGGTAAAATAATTAAAGTTAATTAGCAATATTTTTACTACGATAAATTAACATTAAATGATTATTCTATTAGATCGCCATCGTCGCCGTGATGTGCAAGCCACATAGATGTCCACATATTAATATGACTGGGAATATATGCGTTTATTGCCCAGGTGCGTATTTGGCGAATTATTTAATTATTATGTAGTTTTAATTGACGTATTAATTTCAGGAGGGCCGGATTCAGATTTTGAATATTCAACCCAGTCATACACCGGGTACGAGCCTACGTCGATGAGAGCCATCAGAGCGAGATATAATCCATATTTGCAAACAAGACATCGAGTGGATCAGGTACATTTAGCTTTAATTACCAAGCTAATTATCCGATTAGTACATGAAATATTAATAAATTGCAGCTAAAGCAATTGGGTCACAGCGTCGATAAAGTCGAATTTATTGTAATGGGAGGGTATGTTTCATGTAAAAATATCACATTTTCGCCAACAAAACTTACCCAAAATTCTGTTTTAGGACCTTCATGAGCCTCCCTGTTGATTATCGTGACTATTTCATCCGCAACCTACACGACGCTCTCTCTGGTCATACGTCCAACAACGTCAAGGAAGCTGTATATTATTCTGAACGAAGTCGCACCAAATGCATCGGGATTACGATCGAAACTCGGCCCGACTACTGTCTCAAGCGACACCTTTCAGACATGTTGGCCTATGGCTGCACAAGGCTAGAAATTGGTGTCCAATCTGTCTATGAAGACGTGGTATTTTTATTTGACTTTTACAACATTTACAAATATTTTAAAATTTAATATTTTATTTTACTCTATCTCATATAGGCCCGTGATACTAATCGTGGACACACGGTCCGAGCAGTATGTGAAAGCTTTCAACTCGCGAAAGATTGCGGATTCAAAGTTGTCACTCATATGATGCCAGATTTGCCTAATGTTGGACTTGAGAGAGACATGCTACAGTTTGAGGTGGAGATTTTACCATACAAAATTTCAAGACTTTTTTATTTTGAACTATTCAAAAATGTTGCAACTTGTTTCAGGAACTATTTGAAAATCCTAACTTTCGCCCCGACGGGATGAAATTATACCCAACACTTGTAATCAGAGGAACCGGACTGTATGAATTATGGAAGGCTGGACGTTACAAATCCTACCCTCCCAACACATTAGTTGACCTAACGGCACAAATTTTATCTCTTGTCCCCCCTTGGACGAGGGTGTACCGTGTCCAGCGTGATATTCCGATGCCACTGGTCACTTCCGGGGTCGAATATGGAAATCTTCGCGAGTTAGCATTGGCTCGAATGAAGGATTTGGGATTGGAGTGTCGAGACGTGCGAACGAGAGAAGTTGGAATTCAGGAAATTCATAATAAAATTCGACCCGATAAGGTGAAATTTCTTACTATAAATTAATTCAAGTTCTAACTGTTTAATTAAATCATTTCAATTTTGCAGGTCGAATTAATCCGCCGCGATTACGAAGCGAACGGTGGCTGGGAGACGTTTCTCTCGTACGAAGATCCCGATCAGGACATATTGATTGGTTTACTTCGACTAAGAAAATGCTCCCCAGACACATTTCGACCAGAACTTAAACCACAAGCTACTTCAATTGTGCGTGAATTACACGTTTACGGATCTGTGGTCCCCGTAACGGCAAAGAATCCTAAAAACTTTCAACATCAAGGATATGGAACCCTGTTAATGGAAGAAGCCGAAAATATTGCAAAGTTTGAGCATGGAAGTTGTAAAATCTCTGTGATTTCAGGCGTAGGGACGAGAAATTATTATAGAAAGTTGGGTTACGAGTTGGATGGAGTGTATATGAGCAAAACTTTGACTTGAATTTTGTATTTTGAATCGTTAAATTAAAGTGATACTGACTATCCTAATCTGTTAAATGCGTCATAATTGCACTAATGATTGATCCAGCTTAACTATAGTTTCAAGTGGTTTATCATCGCTCATATTTTTCGGGAACATTGGGTATGCATGCATGACGATTGATAAGCGATTAAACATGTGGATTTTATTATCCAGTTGCATTTTACACGTTAGCAAATTACCAAGGTCTTTCCTCATTAGATCCGATTGAACACCGGGAAAGTTGACTTTCTCCGGATTTGTGAAACTGCCGAAAAATGCATAATTTTGACGTATTGCTACACTTTCACTCTAAGTAGTTTCAGGTCTATTAAATTAAGATTTATAGCAATAAAATAAAAGTGTTACACTCAATTTAATACTGCCATTAATAATCGATTGCCTTTGAGCCGCTATGCTTCCTACTCAATGAAGCCATTCATTCCAGTAAAAGTAAAATTAGTTTAAACTGGTTAAAATGTCAAGTTGAAGTTTAGTGTGTCAGATTAATGAACTGCTGTTTCACTTGTCATGTCATATTTAAGTCTCGCATTACAACAGTTTGTTAACAGTTGGTAAATACGTGCAAAGTTAAAGTTACATACATAAAAGTTGATTGAATGAAACTGAATGAGTAGATATTTTGGTGAAGGCCGTTTGTGTAAACCGTGTCTTGAATTGTATTGACTTTTGTCATTCAAGTGACAATAACAATACAAGACATACATATCGTTGACATATATTTAGTTATTGCTTAAACTTTAAAAAAATTCCATATTTCCATCCAACACCAGTTTTAACCAGTAAAGACCGGAAGTTATAAAGTGTAAACAGCAACAAAGCACATACACAGTTTTCACATTGACAAAATCTGACTTTCTTTTCTCGGCATGCTGCCAAAGCAAAAGTTGTCATGTGTTTTACTTTCGGGGAGAAGGATATCCAAAAAAAGTCACAAATGATGAGTTCTAAAAATGGGAGCACCACATTTTCAGAACATTTAGCCAAGAGGAAATCTAGTCTGCAGTCACTAATTACCTTGAAGTTTAACTAATGAACAGTAATAGTTTTAATCCGTTTAATTAGTATAACTTGTACAACTTGTACTTCTTCAGTCTAACCGGAAGTGGTAACAATTTGTTTGAGAAATGTCTCGGAGAAAGGCTCAATTCAACAGCCTTTTTCATGGAGTTACAAATTATACGGAGTTTAACACCGCTAGCAAAAGGAGATTGCTGTACAATCTTGCGAAAGGTAATAATCATACATAAGTGTAAATAATGGGGTCATCATTTATCACATGTAAATTAATAATTTTTGATAGATGACGAGGGACTAATCCATCGAATGACACGCTATCGAGTTGCAAATGTCCATCATGGCTGTGTCAACTCGATTTGTTGGAATGACGCCGGTACTTCAATTTTATCCGGGTAACAAACAATGGACAATTTCTGTTAATTAATTATGTTACTGTTCATGCTTTATGAAAACTAATGTTTTAATGTTTAATTAAAAATAATAGGTCGGACGACCAACATTTAAAGATTATTGATCCATTTCCCCTGCAACCTCGGGTAAGAATTTCTTGACTCATTCAAAATCCAGAATTAAAATTTGGACTATTGAATTTCATGTTGATCATTACAGATCCTTTGGGAATACAAAACGTCGCATAAATCCAACATTTTCTCTGCCCACTTTCTTCCATACAGTGACGATAGTCAAATCGTGTCCTGTTCTGGGGATGGATTGATACTCTACACGGACATTAATAAATCTTCGACAGAAAATTCGGCTTCCAGATTTAATTGTCATGAAGGAACATGTTACACCATATTAACGGTACCGAATGAGAGCAGAACTTTTCTTAGTTGTGGTGAGTGAAGCCGTCACCGGTTATCATGGAATAGTTACAAAGTTAATTATTAATTATCCAATTATGGATTTTTAGGGGAAGATGGCACCGTTCGATTCTTCGATCTGAGACAGAAAGACCACTGTGATTGCATCAATTCTCCCGTAATTAAGTAATATAATTGTGCAATTAAAGGTATGACCTTACTCTTGACCTGCGAATCAATAGACTGACGTTCTCATCACGACGAAACGCGCCGTGACGTCGATGGCTGTAAATCCGTTGGCACCCTGGTATTAAAAATATTATATGGCTTTATAGAGAAATTTATGTATATCACAAGCTTTGAGATCTTAGGTACCTTGCAATCGGTGTGGGAGACAGCTCAGTCAAAGTATTTGACCGACGAAGGTTAACTGTGGGGTCGAAGAATGAAGTTGACGCGGCAGGTGCGTGATTTTAAGATGATTTGTTTAAAATGATCATTATAATTAATTGACCAATTAATTAGAAACTTGTCAAGTGCGCCAACTTGCCGTACCTGAATTAGAACTAAGTGACCGATACTACAGAATCACGTCGTTGACCTATACGCCTTCGGGAACTCAACTTCTTGCCAGTTACTCGAGCGATTCTCTCTATTTATTTGATTTCACGGTAATTTACAAAGTTTAATGAATTATCATAACGAACCAATTTTTAAGAAATTATGAATCTTGTCATATTTTCTGCTAGGATGATGATAAATCTAAAGCATTTGGTGCACCATCTTCTGAAAGTAACGAGTCAGACTTAACCAGAGACAAAAAACAGGCTAAACCAAATTTAAAACGCCTCAGGTAAATAGTTATAAAAAAATGTGATCAAATGGTCAATTGAGTAAAAGAGACATAAATTATCCCAAATTGTACAGATTAAGAGGAGATTGGTCTGACACGGGCCCAAATGCGAGGTATGAATTTATTCATTTAAGGTGTAAATACATGAGAAATTAAATTAATTCTTTTTTTCATGATTATTTACGACTATTTTTAGACCACAGAGGGACGGAAGTGCTGGAGGTATTTGTCCCATATACATAATCAATCAATTTAAATAATAAATTTTATAATCTCAGAAATCGCTCAAGCTCGCCCCACTCTGCACCAATCCCTCATGGAACGAATGACCCTCGTCCTGGCACAAATGCTCAATGAAAATCCTCCCACAACTCCGGGAGGAGAAAGTGGTGCTCCAGAGAGTGGGAGCGACGAAAATCCAGGCACTGAAGATACGACTCTCCCAGCATTACCTTTTGTTAACCCAGCCCGAAATTCCAACCCTAATTCTAGTAATAATCGATCCGGAATACCGAGCGTGATTGAGGATGACTTTGCCAATTTACGGAGTTCCTTCGTTAATAGGTATTTAGTATTCAAGAAAGAAAATTGTAGAATTTGGTTATAATTTAATTGATAAATTTTGACAATTTTAGACACCGAGTTGAACCAGGCGCAGTAAATCTAAGCTATCGAGAAGGAGGTGGAAATGCTGGATTAATTTCAATGTCGGTCGGAAATGAAATGGAAAGAGACGCGTTAAATTCAATTGACATTGAAAGGGGTGAAAAACCGACTAGTTCTTCAAATGCTAAAAAATCATGGGAGAAAGCACTCTCAATGTCTCGATATCCGGGTGGAAAGATTCGAATGAAATTCACAGGACATCGAAATGCGAGGTATAAATACATTCGTGTTTAGCTAATTTATACTAATTTATTATGTAATTCTAATTTTATAACTCAGAACAATGATAAAAGAAGCAAACTTTTACGGCGACAAGTTCGTCCTCAGTGGGTGAGTTAAATAAGACAAGATTATTCTCAAAATATTCCTACAATTTGCTAAAATTATAATCTGATATTGTTCAGTTCTGATTGCGGTCACATCTTCATCTGGGATAAAAACACGGGTCGACTAGTCCAAATTCTAGAGGCGGACAATCACGTCGTCAATAACGTGCAACCACATCCATTTGATCCACTAATTGCTGCCTCAGGGATTGATTATGATGTCAAGATATTTGCACCCACGGCAGAAGAAAGTACTTTCAACAGAGATGTAGCCGCTGAGGTATGCAATATAAGCAAATCTGCATGCCATGCTGCAAGGATACTTGTTTTATAATGGTTTTTGCTATTTTCATAGCTCATAAAACGAAACGAACTCATGTTAGAAGAAACAAAGGACACGATAACAGTCCCTGCTGCATTTATGATAAGGATGGTACGTCATAGACTAACTGATGAATGGCATACTTGCTTAGAAAGTGTATACTTAGCTCAAATGTCTCATTATAGCTTTCGTGTCTATCCCACATTCGCCGATCTGGACGAAGTACTCAACCCAACAATCCTACTTCTCAACCTGATAACGATAACTCATCTACCACAACTAGTCAAGGGGATGACAATCTTCCAAATAATTCGGATTAGTCACCAGTTTGCTATTACTATTGACCTCAGCTATATATGCATAATAATTGATTTCATGGTCATATTTAATATGCTCTCACTGTAAAACAACTCCTTCATATTGCCTTCCGTTTTAGTCTGAAATAATTTTCACACGCGAATTGATTCATTTGTGTGGTGTCACCCAGATTTTAAGCGCAAATCACTTTTCGGAATTTAGATATTTAAGCCCTTTTGTTACACTACACGATTTTTGCTGCTGCTAATTTTATGAAATTCTAGCCAGAACTACTATGTACATATTTTATTCAAGCCCTTGTATTGTCTCACATTACTTCAAAGCAATAATACACATGCTAATATTCAGTCGAGTACAATAAAATAAACGATGTGGTATTTCACCATCATCATAGTCGTCATCCTGTTGATTTTGGACGCTTGACTTATTGAATATCGATACCTTTTCATGATTTATGAGGTAAAAGTCTTAAAATTGGAAATTCATGATTTATGATGGTCTCCGTCCTATGCCCAGGCCCACCCATCCATAGTAATCATCCAACTATTAGTGACAACCTTCGTATCGTATTGAAATACATACAGTTCTCGTCGTCTAAATGCTTTCTTTCTCCGTCGGCCATAAAATTACCAATTCAGCCAAACTGCTTTTAAATGAGTTTTGCCATCCCTCCCTCAATATTTTGCCATAAAATCGACCCCATCCATACATATGCATTCCTAAGAAATGGAAATACGTATATTTGTTTGTTTGTTTAGTTTTAACCCGTCAATTTCCATACCTGCCAAAAACAGGAGTCATTTAGCAGCGTTCCACCAGCAGTAAATTGGGCATCGATCGTCCCATAATTTTGCCAATGAATAAATAATTGCTTTTCCCGTTTGAACAAGGGTTTAGCGGAGTCGGATGAATTTTAAAGATTCTCTCGGCATCATCTTTAATTCAGTGACTAAATAACGTGCCGTCATTGGGTCGACCTAGCCATTCAGCCCCACCCAACCCATCATCCAACAGGCAGTGTATAGTATATGCGATAAATATCCCAACTCTTGATTTTGGTGTGTGACCCCTTATGAAACGCGACGACGACGATATTAAAATATGTTATTCTCCTTAGTCGACGTGGACAAAATTCTGGGGTGAAAGTCGTCACAAGTGTGGTGAAGGTTGGTCCAGTTTGCGTCCATCCTGCGAACGATTAGTACCTTCGCGTCTGCTTCTCTCAAATTTTGTTGCTTATTTAGTTACTTGTCGTACCTGACCTGACCTGACCTGACCCTGTGCCAAAAGGGGCACCAACTAAGTGACCATGTCGGGTCGTACGTATTCTAAAACGTATACAAAATTCTTCAACTTAGCGACGTTTTTCGGCGTTTTTCCCTTCAACCTTCAAGAGGACGGGACTGTGATCGACTACCATCGATCTGGACCTACCAAACTATGGGCGACCCTCAACACGACCTTTCTCATCCTGTATCTCTTCTACCAGTTGGGAATGATCACAGTGTCCTCCGTGTTGGGACGGGTGGATAAGTTGGGATGGTAAAATAAATTATTAAATTTGGCTAATTAGACATAAAAATGTACGTATGTAGCTTATGTATAATCTTGGAAATAGGTTCTCACAATCATGCTGGCTAATCATGGCACTATTCCCGTAAGAATAATATTTTCCATGGGGTATTCTGCAAATAGCTGTAAAATAATTCGTAACTAATTACTTTCACGGTGATTATTTTAGCCTTCCAAGTCTCATCCTCTACTCGAAGAAGCGACAGAAGTTGTGCGAGTGTCTGACACAATGGGTCCAACTGGAAAAAGACTTGATTGGAGGTGGACATGTTTTCATTAGAATTTCATAATTTTATGATACACAGGCGTATTTACGAGTATTTTTCGACCTACAGGAAAGGATACTGGTGCCAACATGAAGGAAAAGAAAGTCTCGACCATCTTCAACATGAACGATCCAGCTCTGATCAAGGAAGGAATGGAGTACGAGTCCTTTCGACGCGGTCTCTTCTGCTTCCACGCTCAGGAGAAAACCTTCAAGAAGCTGATGTGGATGTACTGCTTCATCGCCATCATAACTTCGTGCGTCGTGGGGCTGCATAATCTGTCAAATCCGGGTATTACAAAAATTAGCGTAAATGTACTTGTTAGGATCGAAATATAGGGATTTTCATGAAATTTTCTGTACTAAATCTCAGATTTCCCCGCGTACTTCACCTCTCTGCTGGACCCCAAACGTGATAACTCGATCATCATCTACGCCTCGTCTGCCATGCAATTCTACATGGTCGGACTCTGCGTCATCCACGTTGGTTCGTTCGAAATCCTGATGATGGGCTGCGTCCGATCGGTAGGTTGAAGGCAGAGAATGAACAATGTAATGTTTAAAATATGTATGCAACCCTATATTATTTTTACCATTTTCAAAGATTCGACACTGCATCGAGTCCCTCTCAAATCTGAACTCTGTGTCGATGGAGAGGAGGGCCGTGTGCGGACGAAAAAAGCCAAAGAATGACACCCTCGACGTGGCCACAATTGCGGAAAATATCGAAAAGAGGGATGCCACACAGTACGGGTCGCAGCAGGAGATGCAGGTCGAAGAAGCAACGGACAACTACCGAAGGGTCGAATTCGTCGTGGAAAATATCAACGAATGTTTCTCTGGAAGCTTCTTGGCTCATCAGACGATGTACTTGGCAATGATGGTAATAATGATATTTGATATTTTTTGGGGGCAATGTGAGATTAAATTTGTAATAAATTTTATATTATTTTCTAGTGCATCCTCATCTTCGTATTCTTACGGTACTTACATTTACATGATATGTAGATTAGTCAAAGTGAAAGTGGAGAAAGTTTTGAGTTACACTTTTGTTAAATTGTTTACAGATCAAGCGAGAATAATTCCATCATAACGAGGTAATTATTTAGATTTTTTTTATACTTTTGAAAAAAGTTGTGACTTTAAAAAAATGTGACTTTTTAGCATCTTCTTCTCGACTTATTCGATCTTCTTCACCCTCCGAATCTGCTGTCTGCTCCCATTCTTGGGAAAATTGGGTGAAGACTCGGTGAGTGATTGAAAGTATGGTTAACAATTGTGGAGAAACTTTTAGTTTATTTTGTTGTTGGATTTTTTTAGGAAATCTTCATCTACTCATGGTTGGAGGAAATCCCGAAACTTCTCCGGGGAGGAAAGCCATACGAAACTGCTGAAGTGAAAGTAAGCTGACTTTCTCCTTTTGTCATTTTATTTGTCAACTAGACTTATTGTGACGTTGAAATGAGATTGAAATGTCAAAAATCATAATACAATTTTGTCATTTCCCTTTTTTAAAAAAACTTTAGCTTCATGCCTGCCGAATTCTTGGGATCAACTGCGGAGACTATTACGACATTCAGGGTTCCACCATCCTGACCTTCTTCTCCATCGTGACAACCTATCTCATCATCCTGCTCCAATTGTAAACCTTGTCAAAAGAGGTTTACAAAAGAGGGGAGAGAAGCTCAAGAGCAATTCTATACAACAAATAATAAAGCTCAATTCACAGTAGTGGTAAAGATGAAGAGGGGACATCAACGTCAAAAGCAGACGAATCATATAAAATATAATAATAGAATTACAAGAATACATAAAAAAAAAAAAAAAAAAAAACCTTTATTACAACCACTGGACCCCACGAATGGGCCATTACCCAGGGAGGGAGAAGAGTACCTGAGCTTGGCAGTGGGGAAAAACGAGAAAAACCCACTGCAGGCACTAGGACTTGAACCCAGCACCTCCATTCAGCCCACTCAGGTGGACGGTAAGCAGGATGGCATTTCTGCCACTCCGCCTCGTCACCCTTCATAGACGAAATCGCATAAGTAACGCAAAAAATAGATGTACACACAATGGGATCAAAAAATAGGCTTAAAGTCACACCACCAAAATAATTTCTTGTAATGTACAAGCTTCTTGTGAGTAGTTTCGTTGTTGCATGCATGCATTTTATTCGTGTTGTTTCACTCGTTTCTTAGAATAATTTGGGGTAAAATGTAGATACAAAATAAGTAGTTAAATAGTAAATTAAAAGCAAGAAGGACAATTAACGTACCTGGAAGGAATAATACCTGAGCAATATAATCAACTACCACGGGGGACAGACATGCTTTAAAAAAGTGTATTTCTAGCAATATGGAAGATCATTCACCTCGTATAAAAAATGTATATACATAATTAGGTTGTCAGTGTTGTAAAAAAATCTTCAAATTTTGCATACTAGAAATTTTGTTAGACAGCGATTTTAGTAGAAAATCGATTGCCGGTACCATAAAATACATCTTAAAACACATCTTGTACATATAAATATTTGTCATTGTTGTAGCATATCATTGTAAATATGGATGTTTAAAAATACTTGGTAGATTTTTATCATTTCCAGAAAGGGTGAAGCGAAAGGCTATAAATTATATATGTTATTGCGGCTAATTATTTTCCTATTCTGAAAAAAATGTCAAGTTATGTATCCCTGGAATGGAAATTGTGCTGGAAAATGTGGGCTTGGTTGGGAAATTGTATATTACGTGGTGGGGGATCCATACTAGACATGCATACATATTGCTGAACAAAGATAATAGATAGGATAGGAGGAAGGCAGAGGATGAATAATTAAGGAAATGGGAAAATATATTGGAACGAATGGACTGTACCCCACTAATTACCTGTATTACGTAGAGGAGAAAGTCGCCCCGTGCGTTACGGAAAGTCTTAAATATTATTGTGCCAGATCTAACCAACGTACAGACATAATAGCTGTTGAATCAGCGAACATAACAGTTTAACCCTCTAAATAATAAACAATTTATTGATCTTGGTATGAAAAACAGTTTAGGGGTTTGGACTGGAAAATATTGCGGAAAAGTATATACTAAAATTAATACTTGATTCAATTGCCTTTGCTTTCTCCCTTGAAAATGTGGTTTGGAAGGTCGATTTAAAATGAAATATTGGTCTTTTATTGGAGTTTTGGATTTTCAGTGTCATCCTGCTTCTAACTCTCATCTATAGCATTCTCTAATCATTATTCAAATGTGTTGGTAAATCTTTCGTATGATTCATGATCAAAAGTAATATAATAAATGATTCGTGTATTTTTTGTGTATCGTAAAATGAAGGGTGTTTCCATCAAATTTTTTGCGCATAAAAAACTTGCAAACTGGAAGACAGACATATTTTTATGTATGCAGAAAAATAGTTCAATGTCATATCACTTATGTATAATGGCGAGAGAGTTTGCACAACTTTCTCCAATTGTTTTGCTGCTATTTTATAAACCGATGGCCCTACAATACAAATGTCAGACGTCATTCTTACAATTCTCACATTTCTCACTCTTCCTCCGACATGTGTTTCAACAAAAGAAGTGTTTTATAATATATTCCAATCTGTCACCTTCAAAACCTTGTGTATACTATCTCAGAAAAAGAAACGGGACATTTTCACTCGTCTCACGTCTCACATAATGCACGACGAAATGCTATGAATCGTATATCTCGTTCTAGGTCACCGAAAGTGTGAAATATATTGAGATAGACTGGGTTTGGTCGCTAATTATTCCATCAACTCAACCATAAGGACCCAGGCATGCAACCAAACCACCCGTCAGTCCTCTGGGAGAGAGAAAGTGGGCGAGGTAGTGAAAACAGGCTCAGCTCATGTACCGGGCAAACCGACCGACTAAAACTTGATGTTATATATACACAAAATAATATCTATCTCCAAATCCCCTTCACTCTAACAAGTCGTCCTGAGAAAGAGAGTAGCAGGCAGAATGCATTGTATAGCGGATACAGAAATGCTGTTGCTGGTGAAAGTTGGTCGATTTCTCTTGATGTCAATTTCGCTCCATATGCTTCTCTCTCGGAGATGTGCTTTATCTGCTTAACCCAGAGATTGCCCTGTCCTACCATCCACTATTCTAGGGGGTAGAGATCAGAAGAATATGGAATAAAATACTTGTTTGCCATACACAAAGTTGAGGATAAGTAGTGTAGCTTGTAGGCTGGTCTTGAGCATATAATTCTGGTGGTGCTAGATATGGCATCTTGTTAGTGCACATACATAAATATACAACCGCCTGTTGAGTAGATTGCTACATTTGCCTAACCAGATAGGAAGCAAGTAGGTCATGTTGAATTAAAATAATCATTGGGGTCGTAATGTTCTCATAAAATACTTAATAAGAATAAAGAGCTGGATATAGTTTTCACGGTGAAAAGAGAAAGCGGAGAAAGTCATGGCAGATACTGAGAAATTGATCAAAACGCCTGAAAACTATGCCGCACTGGCATCATCAGAACCGGAAGGAGCGTGTGACACCAGCAGTGATTCGGATTTGCATTTGAGACGGTACATATTATTTGAGCAATTAGATTTTTTACAGAGATTTTTTTTTCTAAATTATTCTATCATTTGATAGGAAATGGTGGGCAAGGGTTTTCATGTATAATCCGTTCAAGTAAGTTGTGTCATAGTTTGCAAAGTTAGGAATAATTAACTAATTGTTATTTATATTTAGTTAGCTAATTACACTACTTTTTTTATATAAAGCTATTTCCTTCCTCGTCGATATGGCGTTGCGACTCTCGCGTTCTTGGGTAACAATTAAATTCATTTATTTACACTTCGATATCTCGTTGACAAAGACCTGACAAACAATTCAAATGAGACTGGTGTACAAATTGGAATTTATCATAAACAGTACTACTAGACGGACGTCCTGGGTCCTAAGTACACATCAACTAAAAATTTCTTTAGGTTTCTGCAACGTCTACTCGCTCCGAGTCAATTTGAGCGTGGCGATAGTGGCGATGACTGCCCCCAAGACGGAGGGCGAAAAGCCGGCGTTCGATTGGGACTCGCAACAGCAAGGCTTGATTTTGAGCACGTTCTTTTATGGATACATTTTTACCCAGATTCCGGGTGGATGGTGAGAACAATTGACTAATTTGCATAAAAAGTAATGAATTTAATTATGGATTAAATTATAGGCTGGCTAATAAACTGGGTGGGAAGCGTGTTTTTGGCTATGGCGTGTTGGCATCGTCCGTCTTAGCCATGATAACACCGGTGGTGGTGACCTATGCTGGGGTGAAAGGATTGATGGCCGTTCGAGTTTTGCAAGGATTGGCGGAAGTGAGTAATAATTTCTTCAAAATTATAATTTGAGATTTTTCTTTTGACAAACTGACATTTTTCCATTATTCTCCAGGGTGTGGTCTATCCTAGCATTCACGCAGTGTGGTCGCAATGGGCACCCATCACGGAAAGGTCGCGGTTGGCGACAATTGCATTTTCCGGTTCCTATGTCGGTACCGTGATTGCCCTTCCGATCTCTGGAATTCTTTCTGATCTGTATGGATGGCACAGTATTTTTTATGCTTTTGGCGTGCTGGGTAATTTTCAGCATTTTTTTCTCGTGGGACTTCTTTACATTTAAGATATTTTTCTCCACTTTTAGCGTTTGCATGGGCAGTATTTTGGATGATCACTGGTATGCATTTAATTTAATTAACTGAAATTGAATTATTTAGTATGTTTAACTTATTTTTCCATTATACTTGACTAGTTGGTGATAGCCCATCGGAGGATAAGAGAATTTCTGAGGATGAGATTGATTACATCGCAGCAAGTATCAATGCTGGAGGGTCTGCAGCTAATGTATGTATGCACGCTGTCATATTTTCAGGAATTCTTCACAATTAAATTATCTTAATGTTTCGCATATTATTTTAATTGTTTCAGCGCCACAAGCCACTGCCATGGTGGAAGATGATGACTTCGCTACCAGTCTGGGCAATTAATTGTGCACATTTTGCTGAAAATTGGGGATTTTACACGCTCTTGACCTTCCTGCCCCGGTTCATGAATGGTTAGTCGATCACTATAATTACGTTGTGCAGTAATTTGAAAATATTTTCATTTTTAGACATGTTTGACCTGGAAATGAGTCAGGTATAGCAAATGAGTTATGCAAAATCTGTACTGTTTTTCAAGGAAATATTGATCAGAGTTTTTTTTGTGTAAATCAGGCCGGTTTACTGTCTGCCCTCCCTTACATGCTCATGGCTGTCGTGGTCCAACTAGCCGGATTCATGGCGGATTATGCTCGAGTTCATTACGCCAGTACCACTGTGGTTCGAAAAACCTTCACATGTACGGCAGAAAATCTACTGTCTGATTTAGGGATAAATTAAACTAATAATTTTGCTAATTTTTATGCAGGTGTGGCGTTCATCTGTCAAACGATCTTTATGATTTGTGCCGCATATGTGGGAAGCCCTGGTTGGGCGATGGCATGTCTAACATTCTCGGTGGGTCTGGGTGGATTTGCGTGGGCCGGTTTCAGCGTCAACCACTTGGACATTGGTACGAACTGCAGCGATTCGAAATTAATTTGAAGGTCTAATTTTCATTTCATACATGTTTCAGCTCCGCAATACGCTTCTGTATTGATGGGTATATCGAACACGTTTGCAACCATTCCTGGATTGGTAAAAATATTCCCAAAATTTGTGTCATACGTTTTACCCCAATTATCTTAACTTTATAGATATCGCCCTATCTTGCCGGAAAAATGCTACAACATGGATCAACAAGTGTAAGAATTTTAAACACGTTAAGACAAACGCAGAGAAGTGCAATAAATGAATGCAGAGGATTTTGTATTATACGATTTTCTATGATTTTCAGACGATTGGAGAATGGCGAGGAATATTTTCAGTCTCTGCAACCATTGTTAGTCAATATATTCCTAATTATGTTTTATAATATCCAGCCACGTTCATGATTTTATAACCTTGCATTTTTTTAGTACATGGTCGGGGCCCTGCTCTATGGATTGCTAGCGTCCGGCGAACAACAAAAGTGGGCTGGACCATCTGCCGCAGAAATTGCCGGAACTGCTATCGAATCAGATTGAAATTGAGAAACGAAATGAAATTCATCTTATACACCTCACAGTATTGTTGATTCGAATATGTTAACTGTTGATGTTGTGAATTATTTTTGCAGTTTAGTAATCTATGTTTTCTATAAAAAAAATAGTTTTGATTCGTATTCCAATTATTTAAAATTCCGTAAAGAAAAATTATGACCAAAATTTGAAAATCACTCATATCTACTAAAATCGTCCTCTCTAATCTAATCCGGCAACAAATTAGCGACAACTTGTGATGATACCAAGTACATACACTTTTAATCAACTCATCAACAAATTCCCCATTCGACCACTAATTCTCTACCTACCTGGACAATCTATATACTCTTGTGAAAATATGTTATCGATCTCTCTTCCTCTCTGATGAAAAATTGTACCTTTTTGTGAAAATTAATTCTATGCACTTATTAATCATCTCATACATTTTTGAGAAACGAGAAATAATTACTGCGATTGTTATTTGCTTGAAACACAAATATTAATAAATATAAAGGTAGATGGTCAGATATATCTTGAAATTGTTAAAAACTATTACGTTTACTAAATATAATTTCCAAGTTATCCGTAATTAATTAATAAATCTGACAGAATGCAAATTAAATCAAACTTGTTTTTTATCTTTTAATCTTCTTTCCTGAAACTGATAATGCTCGGCGTTTCGATATCCTTTTATTTTTCTTTTGTTGTGTTCTCATTTTCCGTTTATTCATCCAAGCGGGGTAATTTCCTGTGGTTTAGATCACACTCATAAGTACAACTAGAAATATCCACAATTACATAATTCATTGAATAGTTAACTAACCAAATTGATCACGCATAGTCCTTTTGCTAAAGACATGTTCCGGCTTATCGACGGCCATGTCTTCACCTTCACCTTTATCTTCCTCGTCGTCATCAATCACTTCCTCTTCGTCGTCATCTGTTTTTTCTTCAGCCAAATCTCGCCTTGACTTCCGTTTGTCACCGCCACGACGGATTTTTCTTGGGCGAATGATGCGTCTGGCCTCAACGATAGGAATTTTTGTCGACACTTCTGTAATGTCGTCCTCCATTTTAATTTCACCTGCAATAAATGACACTTTGCATAATTATGCTGCACTTTTATCTTATCAAATATTATTGCAAGAGGCTTTTACCTGCAATTTGTGGATATTCGCCAGCGGCGGTCAACATTTTAATTAGACGGTCGTTTTCCCTGACCCCATTCTTTTCTCGCTTTGCTGCCTTCATCTTCCTCTTCCACTTGCTTCTTAAACTTTTTGCCATTTTGAAACACTAATTTAACTAATTATTCGGAAATCTCAAAAAAAAAACTAAATGCAAGAACTGTGTGAACACGAGGAGTGAATGAGCACGCGAGGAACTTTGAGACGAGCGGGTTTCAGTTACTTGAGATTTACTTGAGATTTTCAGAATGTCAATAATAACATGTTTGCAATTAGTTTGTAGTTATACTTGAAGTGAGTTAGTTATGTGCTGTGCGAATGGAGCTAAACTCACGAGAAACCCTAGTCTCAGCACAAGGTACTTCAGGAGGCCGTAGGTTTAAGCTCCACCCGCACAGTACATAACTCGTTCACTTTATGTATAGTTAATTATTAATTAGACTTTGAACTTGACCTTGTACAATTTAATTATAATCGGCATAATGCCTTCGGGTCAGAAAGTGATTGGTATCTTGGGTGGTGGAATTTCCGGCTTATCGACAGCGTTCTATCTCCGTAAAAAGTTTGGCGACGGGATAAAGGCTGTAATTTTCGAGAAATCGTCAAGATGTGGTGGGTGGATCAAGACTATTTCTCGTACAGATGGGAGCGATAGTTTTCATTATGAGATGGGTGATTTAAAAATACAAATTGTTATTTTATAATGCTGGAATCATCAATTAGATTTTTTGAGACGGGTTAAAAATGTTTTTAATTTTATGCCAGGCCCGAGAACCATGCGCCCTCACGCCGAGTCTGGCATGAATACATTGGATCTCGTCGAAGAGCTGGGATTATCCGAACAAGTCCATTTTATCACAAAAGATCACCCCGTTTCGAAGACGAGATTCATTTTCCATAAAGAAAAACTAGTCAAGTTACCTTCAGATTTCTCCGTGCTGTTCCGAACTGTTCCCCCGTTTGATAAGCCCCTCATTTTTGCCGCATTTAGAGATGTATTCAAGTGGAGAAGGGTAAGGTAAACTAGGTGCTAATTAAATGATAAATGTGATTTGGAATTTAGTAAAACTGTAATTGCAAACCTGATGTATGTAATTGCAGAAATTAGAAGATGATTCTATTCACAACTTTGTACGGAGAAGATTTGGATTAGATATCGCTAATTATATAATTGATCCTATAATTAGAGGAATTTGTGGAGGTGAGATTATCGGAAACATTATTGGTTAGAAATTCAATAATTAGTTAAAATTTGTGTGTCTATTAATAGGGGACGCAAGACAAATCTCTGTAAAATTCCTCATGAAAAACTTGTTCGAATTCGAGCAGAAATACGGTTCCGCCTTCCTTGGCCTCGCATTTAGTCGAATTAGCTCAAAACACGATAACGACGTCGTTAATGTCGGATATTCGAATATTGCTTTAGCGTCTCTGCGACAAAACTGGTCGGTGTGGACGCTTGAGAATGGACTCCAACTACTCCCCTGGGCTATCGAAGACGAGTTAAAACGCTACCCCAACATTAATATTATGAAAAACTGTCAAGTCAAAAGCGTTCGGCTGGGGGATCGATCTAAGCCTGGAGTCATCGAAGTAGAATATTTCCCCGATTGTGAACAGAAAGCGACGGAAATGATACTGTGCGATCATTTGATCAGCACAGTGCCAAGTATTGAGTTGGGGAGGATAATTAGGAGGTCAAAACCATCCCATCCCTCGCTATGGAAAGTGTTCGACACGATGGAATCCACAGATATTCAAGTTACCAATTTGATGTATAAGGGCCAAGATGTTTTGAATTATGAAGCGTTTGGATTCCTTGTCTCGTCAGTGGAGAAATCAACCCAGGGGCTTCTAGGCGTTGTTTTCGATACCTGTACATTCCCTCAAGGGGACAGACAGATTTTGACCGTTATGAGTAAACCTAGTCCGGATGAAGAACATGATATCGAGACGATAATGGGATTTTTGAAAACCACGTTGAAAATTGAGAGACCTCCAGATGATCATTATATGGAAGTGTTGAGGAATTGCATTCCACAATATACGGTCGGTCATTATGAAAAGGTGGACGCAGTGAGAAGATATATTAAAGCAGCGAATCTACCATTGACACTTGCAGGTGCTTCTTATGTAAGTTCAAAATTAAAATTGAGATTGCTAATTTTGGTTTGTTAGTTAATTACTATTAATTGAATTTATATATCCTTTTCAGGACGGAGTTAGTGTAAATGACGCGATTTATAGTGGCAAGAATGCTGCCGAGTCATACGATATAACTGATATAACGTAACGACTGACTGACCATATTTACATCAAATAAATGACTGAAGTATACATATTATTACCCCAGAGATTTGTATTATTGTCTATAATTTATTGCCAACATATTTAACGATTGCTTAAATGTCTCTTGGATAAAATTAGCCGTAATGCAGGGTGGAACGATATGAGATTCTATGTAAGATAAGCATTCTACTAACGGTGGGATACATTCCTTTGGTTTATTTTGTAGGAGGAGATCATATGCGTCGTGAAATTGGTCTGTTTTGGCTTGAAGATTTTTCTGTAGAAGATTAATGTCATAAGTTTGACCACATTTTTTACACCAATTCTTCCCCTTGTCGAGGATGCAGTCTTGAAATGACTTTTTATTGTAAATGTCGGACAACTTGCTGAACTGTCTGGAACAATTTTGGCATAAGAAGCGACTCTCCAGAGTTTGTAAGATATCCATTTTCGGCCATTTATATTTGCATGGGAGACAATCGCAAGAGAAGTGGTAGTAATTTAAGAGATGATTTGACCTGTGGGCGTGGTCCTGAAGGGCAAAATGTACCCCGTAATTGTCTAGTACTTCATCCCCAGCCTTGAGTTCCTTAATAGTGAAGACAGCGTTGAGACCGTGCTCCAAGTTAATCCTAACCACGTTTGGATCGCAAGAGTGGTTTATCTACATAACAAAATTAAATTAGGTTTGAATTTTTATATATGATTAAAAACCTACAGTGCAGACTCCATATAGCCCGAGTCAGGGACAGAGTCCGTGACTCGATACGTCCGAGTCCTCTTCTAAATTCTTATCTCAATTGACCTACATACTAAAGCTGCATATAGTCCAGAAGTGGTTTTTGGTCTTCATACCAAATTTCAGACGAAAATAACAACTTTTTAAAACGGTATGGATCCCCCAGGATCACTCTGGTTGCATTTTGCAAACTTTGAACTTCATATTATTTCATGCGAAGCCAACACGGTATCACCGTGTTGGATTTCATCTTTTTAAACCACTTTCTATATCGGTATGGGTCACCCCATAGGGTCGCTCCAGATAAAAATTTTACCAATTTCATTTCATATTCTTCCATTAAGACCTACACACAACCCGTGTACCAAATTTCAGCTTGATATGACGATTTTGAAAAATCCGTATGGGTCACCCCCTAGGGTATCTCAAGATGAAAATTTTTCCAACCTGAAGTTATTTTTTTCTATTAGGAGCCATTAGCAACCTCTGTACCAAATTTCAGCTTTCTACGACAATTTTGAAATTTTGGTGCATAATACCCCACCCACTCCGATGACCCCCACCGGTCAACCACTTGACCGATTTCGCCCATCTTCGAACTCGTTTCCTAACTTTGTCAAATATGGACATAGTAAAAATTTCAAGTCAATCGGTTCAGCCGTTTTGGCTCTATCGTGCCGGACAGACAGACGGACGGACATGACGGTTCCATAAGCCCTGACTCGGGCTAAAAATGTATATACCATTGATAACAGAGCAAATGCCCCGGCACCAAAATCTAGAGTGGAAGCGGTCACAATGTCGTCAGCGGAGGGATCTAGAATGTTGGGAAGCTGGAGGGCGCTAATGGAGTGGGCATTGCATGGAAACGACATTTGACTCAGGAGAAGAATCGATGCAGCAAAATGTTTGAGATTCGTGACTTCCTCTTTATCATCTTCATCATCGTATGGAACGGAATTGAAAAAATCCGTTTTATCATCTAAAAGTTGGACTAGAAGGATAGAATCGGTGCAATACTGAAGTAATTCGTCCTCGTGAAGAGCATCATCATGGTAGATTAAACAGTTGATGGGATAGTAGGAGGAGGATAAGTACTTTCCGTCAGAGTCAAATCCTAAAATTGCATGAGGATGACTCAGTGGCGATTTCTTCCAAAATTGATACAGCTTTTTAGGTCCCATCTTGATTAATGTCCGAAATGCGAGGTGAACAAGTCGTTTAAGTTGCAATTGATGCAAATATGGGGTAATTTTGCATTCATAAAAGTTGTGAAGAGCAGAATCCAGGAGAAGACAGTTGTAATTGCAGTAAATGGCCTGCAGAATAGGTCATATAAATAGTCAAGTTAAGAAGTGTGCTTCATATATGTGTAGTTAAATTTTTATAAAACTCACAAAAACGCAACCTCCACAAGATACAGATGGTGAATTGGAAATATTTTTAAAGCAAAAATGACAAAATTCTATTTCCCATTGCAACTGTTTGATTAGAACTTTGCTGTAAGGTTGTTCTAAAATGATAGTCGTTCCTGGATTTACATCTTGTGTAACAACGACGTGTCTTCCGCGGCCAGGTTGGTCCTGAAAATATGTCTTGTTGAATTTTACATACAACTTCAAATAGCTTTTCTTAGTGAGGCAAATACCTAACAACGAAAAAAATTTACTAAGTATGCATTTACCCCACCCAAAAAAAGTGAAATAATTCTATTTCTCGGCCATTTCTGAACCGATTTCGATGAAATTTGGGCCCAGATCATTGTTACGGAATTTAGAAACGATGTGCAAGTCGACTTAGCGATTTTTTGATTTTGACCCGAGTTATGCCCCAAAATGTGCAAAAATTTTCACTCGTAGGCACGTTTCTATCCATTATTCCATTTTGGAGCATAACATAATCCTAAGCAATTGCAAAAAGGTTACACCAACTCGTTCTGAACATTTTAAGACCAAGTTGACCGAAATCGGTTAAAAAATGACCACGATATTCAATTTTGAAAACTAAAAATTTACTAAAATTACTCTGATGTAAATGTAATGGCGGTGGTGTAGTGCAAAAATGTCGTTGACAACCAATTACAAGTTTTAAATAAACAAGGTCCCAAAAAATGGGAAGTCTTAGTGAGGCAGTGCAATCACAACTAAAATTAGATTGCAGAATTTTTGCATCACCGCTCTCGGTACCATTTTTGCTGGAATAATTGTGAATTTTCTTTGCATCCGCATGAATTCTTAAATCTTAACTGGAGAATTCAGGGCAGTTTCGTACTACACATGACGTACATAGACATATTTAATGGACGAGAAGTGTGCTAAATTAACTGAGATCAAATATAGGTATAATGGATTAACAATTGTGACCTATAAAATTGCTTAAAAATTGCAAATCTATAATTTCATATATATGTATATTCTGTATTTCTCAAATCACCTTTGAGGGGGACGAAGTATTCTATGTGATTAATACTTCCAGTATAAAATGTTACCAAGAGCGGTGATGCAAAAATTCTGCAAATCTAATTTTTGTTGTGATTGCACTGCCTCACTAAGACTTCCCATTTTTTGGGACCTTGTTTATGCATACCTGTATTTCTACAAATTGTTCAGCAGCTTCAATAATTTTTGAGGGATTTTGCAGAGAGAAGAATTCACGGAGTTGTTTAGCATTAAATTGACCACGGTGGTCATCATTGTTTAGCATTTTGTCACATCGTGCCCTCCTCTCCATCAGTTTTGCCTTTACCGACTGCAAATCTCCTAAGCTTGAATTTTCCATAATTTCAAGAGCTTTGTCAATATCGGAGAGACAGCCTTCCTTGTCGCTCATTTCCATAAACGATGCAGATCTACAATGAAATTAAATAACTAATTTGTTCACAAATCTGGCTGGATGTGCAAATATGTAGTTAGCATGAATGTATACCTATTAGAATATGCTAAAACTTGTTCCTTGCTTCCCACTGGGGCAAAACATAGCGATAATGTGAATCCCTTCTGAGCTCTTCTGAAATTTTTTTTCTTGTAAAACTCATTCCCTTCTTGTCTCAATTTGTTTGAGATTTCGACATTCTTTGAAAACCGTAAATCTTGCTGAGAAGATATTATATTTTTCCCTAAATGAAATACATTACATCAAAGTGGATGATAATAATATTGATATTTAACGAGCTTACATTCCTCCACTAATTTAGTAACAGTATCAGATTCCCAAACTCTTTTTATTCGCTGGACGTTGCATTTCTCAGTCTTTAGTTGAAAGAGGCGACTTTCTCTCACGATTTTATCAACTTTCTCCCGAAATGGGGACTGGAAATGGGTGGAATTCCAGATTGGCGAGGTCTCCTTACTTATCAAGAAAGTCTCATCTTTACAACTTGACATGATTAAATTGCTCAAGATATACAGCTAAATGAGATTCATTATATCCTAACAGTTTATTAACTATGTACAAATACAAACTACGATGAACAACTGATTGCCCGGAAAGAAAACTAAAATTCTCCTTGTGAGTTATAACATTCATCCGTCCGATTATGCATTTCTTTACGCCTCCAAAGTTCAATGAGTCCCATTCACAACCATGCTGAAAACCAAAATAGGAAACTGTAAAGAACGACTAACAACAGAATACAGTTTTACAGTTACGTTAAAAGAGGGGATGAGAGATTCTCCTTCCTTCTTCTAACAAAAAGTAGGCATTGTATTCTGCCGAGCCAAGTTTCTTGTCAACCTTCTTAACTTTTTTTTTATCCCCGGTTCTTCCCGTAAGTTAACGAAGCTTTAAGTTGATAAGGTAAAATGAGATGAGACAATGTTTAAATAGGCAAAAAATAGCCTTCAGAAAAGATTAGAATTGAACCTCATTTTCCCAATATTTTAATGACACACTGAAAATCATCTTTGGCAATAAAAGCTGAGAAATCATCAGTAACTATTTTATTTTTAATTAAAATAAGAAATTCAGGAATCTTAATATTTTAAGAAATATTGAGACATGGCTGGTTGTATAGGGTTGAGCCCGTGCCGCATGCCAACTATCGGAGGTGAGGTGCACCAGGCGGAGGCAAATATATCGGTGAAAATCATCCACTTCCTATACTTGCTACACTCTCACAGAGATCAATTCCCTTTGTATTCTACTTGTTACTACCAGCAGACGGACGGAAGAGTTCATCCATCAGAAAAAGAAACCAAAAAGACGGTTGCCTGCCTCCACTTTTAATAGTCGAAACGGTTTTGAATAATCCTCGATAAGCGACTGGTTTCAAGGTAAGGTAAATTTTGAACTTAAAAAATTGTGTGGAAAATTTCACCCAAGATTTTTGCAAGTCATCATGTCATGCTCATTTTGGTTCGTGGTGGTGGGAGAGAGGAGGAAACGTTTGTCAGAGTGAATCATTCTGTTTTTTCGACTTGGTCTTTCACAGTCTACAGTTTCGTGTGAGTGGTGAATATTAATTTACTAAAAATTTGCGTGTTGTTTCACTAGTTTGGGGGAGATTTTGCAACCGGCTTGTGCAATCCGGAACGACGACGCAAGAACAAGGAGAGGAAATCGATCTGAAAGGACGACCGAGACAAGGGAAACAATTGGATAATAATTTGCATTTACGTGCTCCTTCTAATCATTGAAAGGTGAGGTATTTCGTTCTTTTTAAATGCATTGTGAGGTGATTTATGTGAAGATGTAGATGGAAGATTTGCATCGTTAATTTGAATAGATACAAGATTTTAATGAGGGACGAAAGTTGATTTAGGAATTCAGTTTTGGTTTGCTGACGGAGGATGTTGAAAGCAAATATCATTTAGTGAGATCTTATAGGATTTAAATTATGGTAAATATTTCGTTCTCACGACAGCAAAAAAAGTATTAGTAAAAGTAGTAGTTGGTGTCGCGACACGATTGACGATTGCTCGACTTTTAGAATTTTTGATTTAATATTTTTGAAAGGGAAGAATAGATAAAATTGATAAGTATTAGATCATCATTGTGTATCATGATTGGACATTTATCAACACTTGTAAGTTAGTTAGTTAGCGATATGTTTGACCTTTTTTGACTTTTGATTTTTTTTCAGGCTTTCGAGCTCCCCACCAGTTCACCTTCGAGCGGGCCTGCATCCGCGTCCATGTCCACTGTTGAACCATCATTATTAAACCCTGCCTCTCCGGTGAGTCATGAATGAATTATTCAATATACCGTTTTACAAAATTGAGTCTCCTAAAAATATTTTGTAAGATTACAAAATCTATCCTGATCGGATTGTTTTAAATTGCAGACAAATTTTATGACGATAAATAGTGAAAGCTATTTATAAAATATAATGACATATTGTTTTCTTGTGACTTGAAATATCAATGCTTAATTTTAATTGAAATTCTCCTTTGCACAATTTCAGCCTAGCAAGAAGCCTAGATTGAGTGCCGCAGGAGGAAGTTGTTCAAATTCAGCCTCGTCGGTGGTAGGAGACAATAGCCCGGGGACCTTACCGTCTGCAGCACCTGTTGAAATGAATAACGTTGCCACTAACGGATCGTCCGCTAATAACAACGGAGCAGCAATGGCGAACGGAGCAGGGATCGACGAAAATCTGTATTCCAGACAACTCTATGTCCTCGGAAAAGAAGCTATGGCACGGATGGCGGCGTCAAATATCTTAATCTCTGGACTGGGCGGACTGGGAGTGGAAGTGGCTAAAAATGTGATTCTCTCTGGAGTCAAGTCTGTCACTTTGCAAGATGCCACCACTACAACCTGGGATGATCTAAGTTCTCAGTTTTATTTGAGAAAAGCCGACATTGGGAAGAACCGGGCAGAACAATGTCTCAAACATTTAAGCGAACTGAATCCTTATGTATCAGTTCTCACTTCGAAGGAACCACTAACTCCGGAACTCATAGGAAAAGAAAAATACAGCACGGTCGTCGTCACCGAGAGTAGCGGAGTTTCCAACTTGCTCGAAATTGGAAACTGGTGTCACGACAATGGGGTTTCTTTCATCTTGGCTGAAACAAAGGGACTTTTCTCAAGAATTTTTTGCGACTTTGGCCCAGACTTCAGCGTGCTTGATGTCAACGGTGAGAATCCTGTGACGACACTGATTGCTGGCGTGACCAAGGAAGAACAAGGGGTGGTCACGTGTCTCGACGAAAGCCGACATGGATTGGAAGACGGAGATTTTGTCAAGTTTTCCGAAGTTCAAGGCATGACTGAACTTAATGATCATGCTCCCATCCAGATCGAGGTGACAGGCCCGTACACTTTTAAACTAAAGTTTGATACGAGAGGTGAGAAAATTTTACTTTAAAATTTAACAAAAATAATTATTGTTTTCTAAGTAAATGCTAATTATTTGATTTATTAATTACTTGTAGGAATGACGGACTATATTCGAGGGGGAGTCGTCACTCAAGTAAAAATGGTGAAGAAATTGTCCTTTAAACGGTTGGAGGAATCCATCGCCGCTCCAGAATACATAATTGCAGACTGGGGAAAGCTAGACCACACCGAGACGATCAACATTGCCTTTCAAGCCTTGGATGCATTCGTCAATCAATACAGCCGCCGACCTCGTCCATACAACGCTGAGGATGCTGACAATTTTGTGAAGATAGCTACCGACTTGGCTAATAGGATGGAAGTCACGCTTAATGTGAAAGTTGCCCGGATTTTTAGCTTCATTTGCTCCGGACAAGTCTGTCCTATGAATGGATTCGTGGGTGGCGTCGTGGCTCAAGAAGTCATGAAATCTGTGAGCGGAAAATTTCACCCTCTCTTCCAATGGATGTTCTTTGATTCAATTGAGTGCCTTCCGTTCGAGTTTGATGGTGAAACCGGTGCGTTGACGAGTACATTGGACGAGACAGATTTCCAGGGGAGCGGGTCGCGGTACGATGGACAGATTGCAGTTTTTGGGAAAAAGTTTCAACAATCTTTAGGAGATGAAAAGTGGTTTGTGGTCGGAGCGGGTGCAATCGGTACGTGTACCCCAGCTAAACTTTAATTGTTAATTATTGTTCATGAGTCTCAATGAATTCGACTAATACATTGATTCCTAATTAGTAACAATGATTTATTTTTTGTATAATTAGGATGCGAACTCTTAAAAAATTTTGCAATGATGGGACTCGGTGGTGGTGACAAGGGAAAAATTTTTGTGACTGACATGGACTTGATTGAGCGGTCCAACCTAAATCGTCAATTTCTCTTCCGCCCCAAAGACGTCGGTCAGGCCAAGTCAGTCTGCGCTGCACAAGCTGTGCTAGAAATGAACCCCGGAATTACCATCGAACACCATGTCAACAGAGTCGGTCCCGAAACGGAAGCAACGTACAATGACGATTTCTTTGAAAATTTGAGTGGAGTGGCCAACGCATTAGACAATGTCGACGCCCGAATTTATATGGACCGTAGATGTGTCTACTATCGGAAACCTCTCCTGGAATCTGGAACGTTAGGAACTAAAGGAAATACGCAAGTCGTCAATCCCAACATGACAGAGAGCTACAGTTCGAGCCAAGACCCGCCCGAAAAAAGTATTCCAATCTGTACTCTGAAAAATTTTCCAAACGCAATTGAACACACTTTGCAATGGGCACGAGACTTGTTTGAGGGAATCTTTAAACAAAGTGCGGAGAATGCGGCTCAATTTTTAAGTGATCCCCGATATTTGGAGAGAACCCTAAAGCTGCCGGGTAGTCAACCGTTAGAGATATTGGAATCAGTTAAAAAGTGCTTGATGGATGATCGACCGAAAGATTTCCAAGGGTGCGTGACCTGGGCAAGATTGTTGTGGGAGGATTCGTTCAACAACACAATCCAACAGTTGCTATTTAACTTTCCCCCGGACCAAACGACCAGCACGGGACAGCCGTTTTGGTCAGCCCCCAAGAGATGCCCGAAGGCAATGACTTTCAGCACTGAAGATGACTTGTGTGTAGACTTTGTCTTCGCTGGGGCCAACTTGAGGGCAGAAATGTACGGAATTCCGCAAGTTAGGGATAGGACACTTGTTGGTAACATGGGTGCTGCTGTTCATGTGAGGAAGACAATTAAAAATTCATTATTGTGAAATTGTATATTGTTTTATTTATTTACATGCTTTTGTGTTTATGGTGTATATAGGTTCCAGTATTCCAGCCAAGGACAGGTGTGCGGATCGCTTTAACTGAAGCTGAAGCCCAGTCACAGTCTGGAACTCTTGATTCGGATCGTTTGGAGGAGTTGAAGACTACTTTGGAAAACCGTGTAGATTTCCAGGTAAACTAACGATCTAAATGTTTTATAACTTAATATTTATTCTTCATGCATTGTATTATGTATTTATTACGCATTGCAATTTATCCTTTTCAGGGACTGAAGATCACTCCAATCGAATTTGAGAAGGATGACGACTCCAATCTTCACATGGACTTCATCGTTGCTGCATCCAACGCCAGAGCCACCAACTACTCGATTGAGCTGGCTGATCGTCTCAAATCGAAACTGATTGCTGGGAAAATCATCCCTGCAATCGCCACAACAACCTCTGTCGTGTCGGGACTCGTCTGCTTGGAACTCATCAAGCGTGTCGGGGGAGAAACCAACATTGAAAAGTACAAGAACGGCTTTGTGAATTTGGCTCTTCCATTTTTCGGATTTAGTGAGCCGGTCGCCGCCCCCAGGCTCACATATCACGACACGCAATTCACTTTATGGGATCGATTTGAAGTTCAGGGAGAGATGACCCTGAAGGAATTTTTGGACCATTTCAAGGATCGCTACAACCTTGAAATCACCATGTTGAGTCAAGGCGTCTGTATGCTGTACTCTTTCTTTATGCAGAAGGAAAAGAGGGAGGAGCGATTAAAATCTCCGCTGGTGCAGGTAACTAGTTAAATTAATTAATTAACTAATTAACATGTTTTTTAGCCTAATTACAAAATATATTTATTATATAACTTTATAATCTATTTAGGTGGTAAGGGAGGTATCCAGGAGACCCATCGAACCGCACGTGAAGGCTCTTGTATTCGAACTTTGTTGCAATGATAGGGACGGGGAAGATGTCGAAGTACCATACGTCCGCTATGAAATACCACCCTCTCAACTAAATAATGCCTAATGAGGAATGATTTTAAATAGTAATCTAATAATATTTATGATTTTTTGCATTCTCATCTTATAACTATTGATATACGATGTTGTAATATTAATGATAATAATTGGGTGTGTGGTGATGTGTGGCTTATCATTAATTTGGCATTTGTGAAATGATAGATGATCCAAATTGTACACAATTCTTGTCAAAAATTGTAAACTGGTAATAAAAATTGATTTGCAGCAATGAACATTAGAGAATTCGGTCCGTGGAATCATTTCATATTTATCGATTTATTATGATTTTTCATTTCCATTTTATATTTGCTACTTTACTTTAGTCAGCAAACACACAGTTTTGATTTGAGTATACAGTACAGTACTTCTTATTAAATAGGTTTTATCTATGTCTAAAAACAGAGCAATAATGAAGCATAATAATTATTGGACTATTAATCACAAACAACTTTTGGTGTATGGTTTTACGGGGGCGAACACTTTCTCAACTTGGAGTGTTTTCGAATCTTGGAAAAATGTGCACATTTTAAACAGGAAATTTATCTATGTAATTTTAGTCAAGATACATAAATTGAGTGAGATGAATTAATTCTTAACTTTTTTCCAAATATTTAGATTGACTGATTTACATTCATAGCAAGTAATTTTAATGTTACTTAGATTCTGAATTACTAGGAAATCTCATAATTTACATGATTTTGAAATATCTCCTGGTTTGATTTTTTGGTATGTGTGTCTGATATGTAGAGTAATTATTTTTCCACAAATGTACTGCATTAGTGCACTGAAGTGACGATATTATTTTGTATGTGAGTGTCTTTAGAGTGAAGGTAATTAATTGATAAAGTTAAGGTTTTCTAAAAATCCAACAGGGTGGAAGAGCATCATCTTTCTTTTTCTTACTTACGAAGAGTGGGGAACACGTCTCATTTACATAAATCATGCAAAAGTAAAGTTATTTATATATTGTGACATCAATTCTATAGGAAACCATTTGGTAGTGTGAATGTCACGTAAGTATTAATTCAATATATTACAAATATTTTCTTCTCCGGTAATTAAACTATAATTAAACTAATTAATTAATTAATTAGACTTGAAGAAAAAAGTATCACAGAACATCGCGGAGAATTATTATGCGTATCGCTTATACATTATGAAAATTGTGGATAAAATGTAAATACTTGTAAACAAGAGGAATACATAATTAAATTGAGTTTTACAAGTTACAAAATAATTACAGTCAACGAACGAACGCTGACTAATTAAAACTTGAGATTTGTGATTTTTGGTAATATTTTGAAATACTATAAATTGTATGTTGATAATAATGATGATGGTGAGACGAGATTGGGTGATACATAAAATGTCATTCTCGAAGTAGTGACACTCAACGTTCGATTTTATTCTGTCGTGTCAAAACTTCGGTGGAATAGTCAATCATTTAGTAGAGCGTTGGTCACCTGTAATTTTTAAAAAATTCACTTAATACAATATTTTTAAAAAATTAGAGTAAAAAAGGTCATAAAAATTAACCTCAGAGATGGACAACAAAGGACTTCTGTCCGATTTGATGATTGGGGATGAACTGCCGGCGATATGACCGAATGGCTGGGCATTATTTGTTGATGATATGAGTCGATGGCTGAGCCCAAAGAGCTGTAAAATTAGCAAGAAAAATTTCAATTAATTATCTAACATCCATTTAAACTCAGTACTTATAAGATTAAAACACTAAACTAAATGACATTATGACATGACACATAGTGATTTTGTGACCAGGCAGCTAAAGCTTTATAAAAAAAGTTAGTGAGATTTATAAAAAACGGTCCCGTTATTTAAATGTGCGTAATATTAAATATTCCGGCTCATTTCCTTTAGCAGTTACTAGTAGATGATTAAATAAATTTAAGTTAGTTGGTAATGATGACATCCATCCACACACATTAAAATTAATAACAACACAAGTAAGAAACAAACAAAAATTGCACTGCGTTTAGCAAATCACTCACTGGTGAGTGTGCGGGTGGTGAGACGAGTGGGTGTGGTGTGCCGCCGCCCATACCTCTTCCGCCCCAGAGGAATACCCCTGGAGGTACAAACTCTTGGCTGTGATGGCCGCAGACTCGTCCCCTCCGGATATGAGACCCGGATGGTGATGGTCTACCGTTGAAATGACGCCACTTAAGGATTTCAAGGGGTCAAGGAGCGAGTATTTCTTCTCATACTGGTGATGATGGTGGGGCTGGATGACGGAGGAGGAGGATGTGGAGGAAGAAGAATTACTAGAGTTCTGTCGCCCAGAGGAATGGGATTGGTGAGCCCACATGAGGACTGAAAATGGTAGAAAGTGTATTATGCAAATTATGTCAGAAGACGACTCAATTAGTTATTAATACCTGTTTGTCGTGGCATATCGGAATTTGATGAGCCCGAGGTGCCGTTCGTATAGTGGGAGAGATAGTCTGAGGATGATTTAAGCTCTGACTTCTTGTCGCCGAGGTGCTGCTGGTGGTTAATGGTGTAATTTTGCTGCTTGTTATACTCGGGGGTACAATTAGAGGCCGGGGTGGTGGTGGTGCTTGTGGCCGAGTCGTAGATACACCCCCAGGAGGAGGCGTTCGTATAGTCTGGGTAGTAGGGGCGGTAGAGGAGCGAGTTTTCCTAGGAGAAAGTAGATGTAAATTTTATTTCAAAATTTTATTTTTAGATAGGTTTTTATTTTTTTACCAGGTAGCGATTCGTCTCAAAGTGGTTCGTGGGGTGGTAAAAGTTTTGCTGGGGGGCGTAGTCTGCTGCAGGATGACCGTAGTTGTTGTATAGTTGGGTGCAACCATATGGAGGTGTGGTCGAGTATGCGGCAGCAGCGGCGGCGGCGGTGGAGTACGCAGCCTGACGATGCAAAAAGATTGTCTCAATTAGAATTTTGATAGTTTGGGGATCAATTTTTTCAAAGGGATTTTAATATCTGTACCTGGAGAGCGGAAGTCTCTGCAGGATGGGTGGGTGCGATGTGGTGGGGATACTCGGCTGGGGGAACAGTGGCGATTTTTCTTTTCGATCTGAAATTTGCATGACATTGAGGTCTCCAACAATTTAATGACTATTAATTAAAGCCACCCGATTTAAGCTGTTTGTACTTTACGAGCAAAAAATGCAGCATGAGCTTTTTTGTAAGACTAATTTTCTACCATTTCCCATTTTAATAAAGGATATATTAAGCAAAGCACTTTAACCACCATTCATAAGCAGAGATATCGCATAACGTGTTAGCAGCAGCATAAAAATTACCTGCAAGAAGCTAGAAAATCTCTCAACTGAGTTTTATACCTCCTCGTCTTGGGTGTGGCATTGGTCGGCGTGATGTTTGGTGTAGATGATTGAGATGAGATCGTATCTTGGTCGGAGAAGTAAGAATTAGTTAGGCCAGCATCTGCATATCCGGTGGTAACACAAAATTAGTCCAAGTGATGGAATGTATAGAGAGAAAGAGAAAAAAGAGATAAATTACAATTTTATTATTATTACTCTTCCCTCTCTTTATTGCTACCGACTTTGGCTACTACTTAAAAATAAATCAATACTATGGTGGAAAATACTTATCTATTTTCCGAACCAGACTTATGAATGTAGGTACGTACCTAAATATGAAACTTTGAAATCCATCGTCCTCTTCCCGAGCAGATCCCGTCCTTCTTCATTCCTGAAATGCATTTTATTTATAAAGAATTTTGTGTCATTTCATGAAGCCCACATAAATACAAAAGTTATCAGATTAAGGGAGAAAATAAGGCTACATTTTATAATTTTAATGTCTCAAATCTCTCTGTCCGTAGTTAAAACCAGATTCTTCTTTCGGACGGAGGATTCTCCTTTGACAATAAATTGTATTTGCCTACAACCACCCAAGGGCAGTTTTAAACCAACTACTGGCTACACATGTACTACCTGCTACGAAGAAAAATAGTAGTCTGGCCAGTAATGAACTACGAGAGGAGAGGACCCTGATCTCTGTGCATCGGTAACTTTTACTTTTTAATGTTGTTCATCTCTCTGCAAGGCAATTACAACCACTACTGGACGGCATTGCAGTATGTATTACTTACAAATTACGACGATAAATCTTTACCTTGAGTTGTGAATAATTTAGTATTTGCCTCTCGTCTCATGGAGTTTGAACTCATTTTGTAAAATATTGTATTTCAAATGTCGCCTACTACTATGTAATGCGTAATGGTGCATGCTGGTGGTCTGAGCATCTTATCCACTAATTGCCAATATTCGGACAACGATGTCAATAATAAATAATGAATTGTACAGATTAGATAGGAAACTTTACTGAATTTCTCAAACTCACATTAAAGGTCGATGAGTGCTTATGATGAAGTCAGGCTTGGAATTCTTGTACACGAGACGAGACGACGTTTGTAGCCATTGCCACTGACCATCTTTGGTTTGCATTCGATACGCGATTAACCCACTTGCACCAGTTTTCAGTACTGAAATTGAAAATATTTGTAAGAAAATTTTGTCACATTGTTGGTTTTGCTAATTTTTTTTGCAGGCACTTACACTCTTGGTGAGCGGATGCGACGTAGGAAAGGTCCTCAAAGTGGACAAGCTATATAGATTTCAGTGGAATTAGAATTATTAGTTGTTATCCAATTATCCATGCATTGTTGTTTGAGTTACCTCGTAGCCTCCCATGGTGGTGAATTCCGTATCAGAGTAGGCAAACAACATTTTCCCCCTGTGATTTAATGAACAGAGGTAAAAATTTAAGGAATTTGGAGGTAGGAGAAGGAGCCGCAGTTGGATTACATACCTCTGGTCCATGCTGACCAGACTGAGGTCCAATTTATGTTTCGATTTAAACATTAGCTCTTTCTGTTGTGAATCAGGAGAGTTACTCTGTTAGCGAAATACTTTTTAGTGACTTGGTAAGTCTTATTTTAAGAGAGGAAAAGCCTTACGGAAGGAAGTTCCAGGAGTGAGGGGGGACCAAAGGGGGTGCACAGGGCGAAGAGGGCGAGGGGTGGGTCTTCCGACTTCCGGTTTTGACCGTGCAGGACTTTTATGCGGCCGCGGATGTCCAATCTCTGTTAATTTTGAGGGGATGATTAGGAAATCAGTTGTAAAGTTGACAGGATTTTATGTGTCTCATTTTGCCTCCATTCGTTCAACTTGAACAGTTCAAGTCTTGTATTCATTTTATTTATGCATAAAAAAACGCAAAATCTTACGCTGCCACTCAACAAAGCGAGAATTAATGAAATTTTGAGAAAATACAAAAGAGGTTTTTGTATACAGTCTGCAACAAGATTAATGCGACATCATGATAACAATTTCTTATGAAATATTGTTATTTGCTTTCTCTCTCTCCGTTTTCAATTATTCTACAAATTTGCATTATTATTTCCTCTCTTTCTTTCTTTCTCTCTTTGTAGCATTATTATTATTTTCACCAGCAATGCGACAGCATTTCTAAAGAAATAAAGCAAATATATCTCTCCCTTAATCACGACTGTTGTTGTGGATCTTGTAAATTTCTGGGGACTTTCTCCACCATAATTCTTGATACTGTGTACTCTGTCTTAAACTGGGGCTGCTAGCCAATAACATAATGCATAAAATGAAATGAAAGTCCAAGTCCAGTCTGGTCCAGTGGTGGTGGTGGTGCTTTTATCTAACAATAAGGTTCTCTCTCTCTCGGATGCAAAATCCGAATCACGCAACAAGACGGATAGTCCTTCTCTCTCTGTCTGATATATTACTTTGTAGACAAGGATTTTGTCCAAATGCTGAATCTGACTCGACTTTCTTTTACTTATCGCCCACCACCACTGGGCTGCTACCATGTTGTGTAATTCTTGGAAGAATGGGTGGGTATTATGTAGGGACGGGTGAGAGAGTGGATTACTGAAGAATATTGCTTCACTTTCACTCAGAGAAAATTTATTCATCCAATTCTTTCCGAGAAAATTATTGCCCAAATTGTACCTGGCAGTATAGGGATAGATAAGTAGATAGATAAGCAGGACATACATATATAGTTTATATGCCAGACTACAACTTCTACACAATTGTCATGATTCTTGTCCTTTTTGTGCAGTGCGTTTGTTAATTTCATTCAACTTGGATAAGACAAGACACACATTTCCTTCCTATACACAAACACACACTGCGAAATAATGAACCCCAGGCCAAAAACTGCTTCTTGATTGAAGGTGAAGTCTGCCGATGTCAGTCTGCGCGTGGTTCTCTACTCTCTTCCGGTATTGAGTCAAAATCCGATTCGGTTCAGTACTTTACTTCACTGCGACGTGTGCAGCTCAGCTCCCTCGTAGTGGAATTATTACCACTTTTTCCAGGTGTGTTACCCTCCCTCATTTTCTCATCTGATGATAACCATCCACCAGGCAGGCAGGCAGGCAGCACTTTCCCTTCTCTCATATTTTCCCATCATTCCATATAGTTCGCTGCGTACGTCAAAGGACTTCTAATAACTGACTGACTCTGATACATATTTCGCCTCACCCTATTTTCGCCCTGGACTCGTAAAAGTCGGGAGTAAAACAACAACAACGACTGCGACGAGGACGATGGATGATTAGATAAAGAGTTTGGTGGGTCGATTCTAAGTACACATTCTGCTTTTGGAGACGGCTACTTTTCCTTTGAAATTCACACCAGTTAAATAATCTGGTGCTGATGGCTATGCGAAATTTTCAGTGAACTTAAGCGAGAGAAAGAGATGAATTTGTGTGATAATATGTACAATACCTCCTACATATTGCATACCCGGGCATTTAGCCCTTAGCGGATTTGCGTATGCGGTGAGGGTAACATATTTGTAGGGAGGGTTAGAAAACGACTCCTGCAAGGTTATTGTATTATTATATAATAAATACAGCAAAATCAAGGTGTAGTATAGATTTGATTAAATGCCAGAGAAATTACAGCAATTAAAATGACTGTTGAGCTTTTATGCAAATCTCATGCCCACGAGTGAGTAACCAAAACCGTATGAAATTCGGTTGCCGATGATAAAAGTTAAGAATACGGAACAAGTTTTCCCAAGATTACTGCTCCTGCCAAATTGCTTATTACTCGTGTAGATGAAATACATACAAGGAACTAATGACATGCTGGCCAAGGTGGTAGTGTTAGGTCCCCTCATATGTTATTATTACACACCGGTGACCGGAGAATTTACGAGAATTGCTCGACTTATTAGACGGAACTCAATAAGAATACAAATGAAACGTCAAATCAAAATCTGGGTGCTATAATAAATACGAAGGAAAAGTAAGTAAGTAACTTTTGGACAAGAAAGGAAACGACTTGTGTGCCCATTGATCGACCTTTTGCTGTTGTTCCAAGGAAGGAATAAACTGCCTCAAATCAAATCAAAGAGTCGACCTCAGTCAGTATGTATGTACCTCTGCAGTTGTAAATGCAAATGAGCCACATTATCGGACTTTCTATCTGTTAATAATATTCCGTTTCTCTGTCCAACTCGGAAAATTTGGCAGCCAGAGTTCCAGCTCGGGACTGAAATTCCCTTTGTCCACATTAAATATGAGTCTTTAATCTCGATCAAAACTTTATGGGAGGAAAATGGACTGACTTTCTTGTGCGGAAATGGGTGAAAGTATGGAGAGTATGGAGAGTAAAAAAAAAACTCACCAAGAATCCTGAAGTGTTATCCAGCAAACATCTGAATCGGACGGTGAAAGATCTCTCGAGGAAGTGACAGTGGTCCGAAGTGTGGATAATTTCTTGTAAAGGAATGCCCGAAAGTTCTTGAGGACTGGAAGAATGAAAAATTAGACTGTCAATCATGTCAACAAAATGGTGCAAACTTTGGCTGGAAACTAAGTATTGAACCGTGAATAGCATACCAAAATGCATTCCACATTAATTGTCGCTGCAGTTCTTCCCTATCTTCGGAATGGACTAGCTCGTATACACTTTGGTGAACGATATCCGACTAGGAAAAAATTAAGAATTATTTAAACAATCACAAATTTAGGTATGTATGCACTTCTGCAAAAAAACGTACTTGATGAAATCCCAGATAACTTTCAATACTATGCGTCGCAAAAAACCTGGAATTAATAATTTTACGTTATCATTGTCTGATTGATATGTATGCATCATTCAATATTCAACTTACACTTCCCCATCACACGTCAAGATTAAAAGGAATCCGTTGAGGGCCTGGAATTTACAATTTACCCATAAAAAGTTACTTAAAAAAGTCAATACTCGAATTTGTCACGCTGCGCTAACACAAGAGAACACTGGTTGAAATAAATATGTAAATGTCAATTGGATAACAAAGCGAGAACATAATTTTCTCAAAAACACATCTCCCTTTCAATCCTCACCCCCATAAAATGGAATGATATTGATATTTACATCTTGACAATGAATGAGCAGCAGCTCAAATCCACGCTGCGTCGGGGTCAAGAGTTAAGACCAATGTTTTGTCTTATTCTCATCATCATCTAACTCATCACCACGACGAGACAAAAAATAATACAAACTATGAGACGACGCAGCAATATTATTATTATTACAATCATCCAATAGGAGAATTGACCACCGCGTTATATTCACTAATTTCCATCCAGTCCAGCCAGACCTGTATCCTAGAAAATGCGATGATGAACTTATAAAATAAACTGCCCGATCATAACTCCTCAGCAGGTGAAATGTTGTGATAAAGCTGAGCAGACGTTTAAATTCAGAAAATACTCATAATTTTGTCAGCACTGGGTATCAACGTCGAGGAGAGAATCTTCACCTTACGGAAAAAGAAGGCTTCCCCCCGCTGGGGCATTTTTGACTCGAGTACAAATTTTATAAACTGGACTTTACATACGTACGTACGCGTGGAGTGTGAATTGTGTGAGCGGGGTTGAAATATGTGTGCGCTTTATTTATTCAGTGACATGACACATGGGGAAATTTTTCCAGGAAAAAAAATCTGCATTTTGTTGAAATGAAATTGAGATTTTTTTATAATGAAAGGGAAATTTTTCAGGGAAAATGAGACAGAAAAAAAAATCCAGAGATAAATATTTTAATGATTTAACTCGGTCATGCCGAAGAATAATTCTGTAATGACCTCAGTGTTTTTGTATTCCTCAACCCATATAAATTCTGTAGTATAACTTTTATTCCGCCCACAAAGTAAAATACTTTACCTTCGTCGTCATCAATGCAATGCATTTCTTCTCCTTTCCTCACAAGTAATCATCATAAAGTAATAACAGGACATCAGCAATAAGGAAACTGTAAGTGCATGTACATTACTTTGTGGGATGTGTTTAACCAAGAGGATTTTTTGTACTAATTTCACCAACATTTCTTCACAAAGTTGAAAAAGAAGAACAAATTGCTCGAATATGTATATCCGTACTGGAATATTGAATTGTATGTAAAGTGTAAAAATCTTGGAAATTGTGGTGCATTTTCATTTCTTCTTTTTCGTGGTAATAATAAGCCAGCAATGTTTTTAAGGAGGCAGCAGCCGAGAAACTGAGATACGACGAGAGGGGAATATATGCACAAAAAAAGGCCCTCCGCATGACACCTGATTTATCGAGCGAAATTTATAACTGCCAAGCAAACCATTATTCATCTCGCGGCTGCTGCCGTTGCTGATCTTGATACTCATAATACTACTCGCCCTTATAAATAACCCCCAAAAAATAAGTATATGGATGGAAGAAAGAACCAACTTTTAAAGCAGAATGTGAGCTGAAACTAAAAGTAATGTGCGATGGCTATTAAGGTCAAGTTCTTCTTCTCGTTTCCATTATTTGGTGGGTATATATGAGCCCGAGAGTTAGTGTGCAAGGTCCACTAATCAACGTCACGTAATAACGGAAAATCATAAATACTGATTTTATTTTATTGGATAGATTTGGAATTGGAATTTCTGAAAATGTTGGACAGGCAGATAAGATTTTTATTATTATGATTGTCGCACTTTCCCCCAGAGAAAATTGTTTTATATGATGTAGCTCTAGAAGAATTTAGTTATATATTGCATTTTCACTTTACTTTGCCAAGAGTGGTGGTGGTGGTTAAGTAATCTCGAATAAAACCATCCAACTAATTCACTTGGACCAATCTAATTCCTGGTCAAGTCAAGCAGTCACGCGATATTCCGCTACTTTTCTAACCAACTTCTACTACTCGCTTTTTTTCTCCTCTGTGCAATCCAATCCACCAACGTGATGAAAGAAATTGGAGAAGAAAGTTGGAGTGAAAATAAAAAGATGAGAAAAGTTTTTTATTTTATTCTTCGTACATTTCATTTCATTAGTGATTTTCGCATCCGTCATCACATTTCTGTTGGCGAAATTTGTACAGGTTGACCTTTCGAAAGAATAAATGATGAAATCTTGGGGTGGGAAATGTAAAAGAATTATGTGAACTCTTACTTTCATCTCAACTAAATATTTATGTGATAAGGGTTCCCCATGATCCACTTATCAGATTATTCGTAACTTGTCCCTCTCTAATAAACAACAATTGTGTAAACTACTCTCGATCTCGTTGACAAGATGTGAGGCAGCACATATTGTGATCTCCCAACAAATGAGGGAACCAACCTGGGACAATAATTCTCTAATTTTGTATACACACTTATTTACCCAGGGAATTGGAGCCGACCTGTTTATTTTATTTTATTCTGCTACCTCCTAATAAGTTGATCCTCTTAATCGCGCATGGACATGCGAGCTACTGCTCCCCGGTGGAGCACAAGGACCTCAAAGTTTAATTGAAAAATTACATTCGCCTAATTTAATTGCGGGGACAAAAGTCTAGTATCCATCCACCACTCCAATCTACTCTCTAAGTACTCCTGGTGGTCTGGTCTCCGCCTGGGCTTGTTCTCTGATGCGGTGATGATGACAATGTTGCTGGTGGAAAATTACTTACAATGCGATGGTGTGAAGTGTAACCCTCCGATTTGGCTTAAATTTTAAAATTAGGTGGTCCAAGCCAATACAACTAACGTTTCTTCAGGCAGTTTGTGCGATGGTGAGAGTTACTCAAAATATTTGAGGTCAAAGTTCAAAAAACGGCCGACTTTTTTCAGGCGGAGTGAGAAAACTCCACTTCCAGTCTCTTCCCCTCGCTTTGATTTGCAGGTGTCTCGCTCACGCATACGCCTTCATGCACAAGCACAGGCTTTGATGCAAAATAATAAAAAATAAAAATTATTAACTACAGCTTAAAAAGCAATTAATACGCATTCTACATAATTTAATTCATAATTAAATAAGTGCGATTTTTACTTATTTCTAGTACAAATTTACATAAAGTTAATTTATAAATTCGCCAACGGCAAATAAACATGGAAAAACGTAACTTGCTTTCCATTTCGAACGCGTTGGTTATTCCAATTAATTTGTATTTTAAGTGCTCCTGTGTTTGTTCCAATGATTCGATATTGTTCGTACTCGAGCGGATTATGGGGTGATGACGAAAAGCCCGAGTTTAAAAATGTAAACGACGTTTGTTTTAGAGAAAAAAATATTAGTTGCGACCTGAATTGTGGCAATCCCACATTCATCAAATTCAGCTGGTGCAGTTTATCGTATTGTTTTGTGGACTTTTATGAAAATAATCATATGGTCACATGTACAATGAATAATTAATATTTTTCTACAAAAAAAATTAAATTTAAAATTGTTGAAATGAATTATTTTTCGGAGTGAAAATCAAAGCGAAGGGAAGAGACTGGAAGTGGAGTTTTCTCACTCCGCCTGAAAAAGTCGCCCGTTTTTTGAACTTTGACCTCAAATATTTTGAGTAACTCTCACCATCGCACAAACTGCCTGAAGAAACGTTAGTTGTATTGGCTTGGACCACCTAATTTTAAAATTTAAGCCAAATCGGAGGGTTACACTTCACACCATCGCATTGTTAGTTTTTGATGTCAGGCATGGTATGTTTTTGGCACGAAAAACAAAATAATTCAAATAAATAATAACATCTTTTGTAACGAAAATAATTTGTTTTTGTCTCAACTTTACCCTGAGAGAGAATTTAGTTGAGTTTCTTTCTCTCGTCTCTCTCGAAGGTAATTAAATAGGTAGGTAAGAAGTACACACCTGAAGGAAGTATTCACCGTCGAGAGGTGTATGATCGTACGCGATTAATTCTCCTCTCCTCCCGTTGTAGTCCGTCCCATCATCCTTCTCACGGGCCGTGGACACTGCAGAACAAAGAAAGAAAGTGTAATTAGAAAACTTTTACTCTTTACTTTGATCGAGGAAGGCACGAATCGTGTAAAAAAATAAACAGAAATTTTTCCTCTCTTGTACTTTCTTTCATCAAGTTCAACCCTTTCTCTTTTAGATTGGCAAACACTGCATTGAGTCCAATTCAGTGTAAATATTAGTGATTGCTGCACGTAATCCATATAGATACCTACATATTAAGCAGGTACCTTTTGATCATACCAGAAAAACAATGCATCCCTTATTTAAACACACTCCGGTGCATACATATTGCGCCCAACGAAAGTTTTATTATTTCTTTCTCCTCCATCCACACCCTGAAATCGATGAGCAATAAATTTTATCTGGAAGGATCTCCTACACATCCAGACGCACAATACCGTATCGCACGTGTGCTCACCAAAGCAAGCAAACCCCACCACCCACCGACGACTCCTCTAATGGGGAGAACATTAACCAGTAATTAACGGATACAGGGAACAATGTAAGGTAGCTTATACTACACGGTTGATAACTGACAAGGAGTCGTAGTGGAAGAAAAATGGGGCGAGGTGTATGTATCATTGCAGTGCAGCGTGGGGTGTGCTGACGGCGAAATAAAATGAAATGCAACGCTCATGGGGCACTTACTCGTCCCGCTGTGGTGGCACCACGACAAGATAAACTTATTCTTTTAAAGTGTGCAATACGTACAAATCCGGTTCTAATTTTAAAGAATTTATGTAATTTTTTACCCTAAAATTCAAGACAATGCAAACATATTTTGAAGCATTTCTTGAACATGCTGGAGAGAAAAGAAGTTGATATTGGTTGAGCAATAAAAATGTATCATTCATCTCCCCCACGAAACGATTTGACATGTGCCACTGCCACCACTGCTGGGGTGGATTTCTCAATAATAATGTCGAAACTAAAGGTATATGTGAATGTACGTGATGTGAGAGGGAAGGGTTGGTATGGAAGGCGTAAGTCTGAAAATAATGAATTTATCTTCTAAAGTGACTCCAACAAGGTAATTACATTCGCTAATGCCCGCAAGAATATAAAAGGATCCAAAGTAAATGAAATGATCTGGATCAATTAGAGTTTTACTTCACTGGATGCGGAATAAATATGTACACGTTTCACGGTTTAACTGCGTTCTGCATGTACAACGGATAGTAATGAATCTTGGCCGGTGTGTGTGCAATGTGATGCTGGATAAATGTGGAAAAATACGTATAACCTTCCATTCATTAACTTAACATTGTGTTGTTTTTCCAACCTGGCAAGTAACGGAGGAGCCGGTATAATTTTTAATTATCTATAAGTCCAGCATTACCAGGGAAGAGAGAGAGAATTTATTTATGGGTGAATAGTTAGATGTCATCCGGTTAATGTGATTGTACTCGGCGTTCGAGGTAATAAATCTTCACCGTCCAAATCTCCTAAAAGTTCGAAAAGCGTATGAACGTATGCTACCACGAGTAATAAGTAATGCAACCTTCATTTCATTACGAATTTCTTCCTTAGCCCATTTTTGTGGCTTAATTAACTCCAATTCCATACAGGCAATTTTTATGGATTGGGTTTTACGATTGCATTTTTAAATTCTAAAATTCAATTAAGAAACTGTAACTGAATAAATAGATAAATGGGCATTTCTCTCGTTGGTGACAAAGTATGTACGCGAGCTAATAAGGCGTTTCGTTTGAGAGTTAAGTATACACACGTCTCACTTTTTTCTCCTTAAAATGGAACCCCCTATGGTCAATGACAATGACGATTCAAACAAATATTTACGACCGTGTCACGCAACCGAGACCGTCAGTTCAATATTCTTGATTAATGAAGAAATAATCTGGTCCGAGCTGTTGGTTGGTGTTGCTATATTTACGTATTTCCTATTCCCCCATAATAGCAAGAATATTGCGGTATTTTGCAACATGTCACGCATTTCGACTATAAATTGAAGATGCAATTGTTGAGTTAGGTTTATAGATTATGAATGAACATGAAATTCCTTAAGATAGGAGAGTGGCATGACATAACACGCGGCGTAACAGGTCACTGACAAAATTGACTGTTAACTTATTTGAGTTACAAATGCAATGCACTCTATCCGCGTGCATAGGTTCTCTAACAACACGAACACGCAAAGTAAATCATCTCACGTGACAAATACTTGCAGAATTGGTGGTCGCGTACTTACGCTCAAAATACAAAATCGGGCCCAAGAAGGAGTCAATAATATGTTATTCCTCCAGCATAGAAAAAGAAAGCAACAGGCTTTAGCATGCCACGTAATGCTTACCATTTTAAGCGAGACGCTAATAATAATTTCCGTTCGTATCGTGCAAGTCACTTATGAAGAGAGAAAAACAAATGAAGCAGCGAATTTGATTTCATGTCGGGGTTTGGGTATCGTCTAATACTAATGGATGAAAGGTGGAATTTATTCGCAGGCGGAATTGGGATTTTTTTTTGTGCAGCGAAAAAATTAATTAATTGCAGCATCAAAGGCACAGTTTTTGTTTGAATTACAATAATTAATAATTAATTAGGAAGAGTTGATTTGCCAAAATTTTAGCAGGATTTTACAGTATAGGAATTTTGGCATTTTTTTTAAACGAACGGTTAAACCTTCTTGTTTATGAGCTACGTTCCCTCCCACCACCCACATCCCAATTCATAGAGAAAATGTTTAAGTGAAATCAATCAATCACGAGTTGGACACAGGTAGAGATTTTTTTGTAAAGGTTTAAACTGTGAGAAACATAATGTTTTTCACACTTTGAAAACAACATCCTTTTGTATCTGTTGTTTGTTGGTATTGATGATGATAATTTCCAATTTTCTCTCCCAGCATCTTAAATTGCTCATTGTTAAAACTTGTTAAACATTAAGCAGACCTGTGGTCGGTCGAAGACCTTTATTTGATTAATGATAAGAACAGAAACATAAAATCTGTGGTTTAAATAACAAATCTCAGACTGCAGACGTTTATATACTCTTCCGCGATTAGAGAAAATTAATGATACAGAATAATAAGACATCTAATAATACATATTTGCCAACTACCCAGCAAGACCTAGCCAATTATCACATCATCACAAAATTACTATTTGAACAAAAGGCAGCGCGTATATTAATGCATTGCGAATTCGCGAGTAATTAAAATTTTAATGATGGCGAGTATAATTATCATATCGCCCTAAAAATATCGTACCCTTCGTACGCCTCGTTTTTTTAGTAACTCACTCAAATAATGGTAAGTATGTGATGGGAAGATGATCATTAAACCGAGTTAACGATTTGTATTTAAGTTTTAATTAAGCCCGTTCCCATTCATTTCTCTAATGAACTTATCCACCTCCACACATTTTCGAGGGTGGGAGAGGACATACATATGCAACTAAATGCTTTACGTACAGGAAAATAAGGTGCAGGAATTATTTTATGGATCTCGAGTTGCTCAATCTGAGTTGCGCTTTAAAAGATCACACAAAAAGCAAGATTGGATAGAATCCAGCCTTCCAGAGACTCAGCGAGAGCCAATAACGAAGAATCAAGGCACATTAAACTTTGGTGGTGGTGGTAAAAGTGCAAGCAAAAGCAGTCCTGTAGTAATGGACACATCTTCATCTTTTCGAGCAAAGTAATTCTTTCACATAAATAAACAGAGCCTCGTAAAGCAGAGATCTTCCCTGGGTTAAAATGTCAAGATGGTAATAGATGTGCCCATTGAAGTCATCGTAAATAAGTGAATAAGGATAAATACACCTTGATCCTGCCCCATGTCTCGCAGTTACAGACGAATCCTTGTAATCATGTATGTACCACAAGTTTCAAATAATTTGAATTTAATAAAGATGCAAACACACCAAGTTTCCGAGAGCCAATGACACTCGTTCATTCATACATTCTTCTTGTAAATGTTTTAATAAGTAAGTATAAGATTTGAGCAAGATTTCAGTATCTCATTTTCCCCCAATTATTAAATCTGTACCAGATAAAGTTTTATTTTTTTTTACCAATTATTTCACTGCTCCACATTGTACATACATACGTTATTTTTTTCTTAATAAGCACTTTCCGCATAAATTATTTCCTCGACTTTTGCCATTCGAAGAAGCAGAAGAAGCCAAACTCCTGTGATTGTATGTAATGATAAACGATACATGAATATGCACCAGTTTCTTCTTCTTGGATTTGTGGAGAATGGTAAAAAACGGTGGAGAATGAAATATAATTACACGTTTACAAATAGTAATTATTCCTCTTTAGTTACGTTACGAGAGAAGTTGTTGTTGTTATAACCAAACCGACGACTTCTGCTATACAGTCTCCATTGAAAACTGGATCCCCTCTTATTATTAAACATTGAGGATTATGCATATGTACATGTATTTATGCTATTTATTAAAGGTGGAAAAGAGGGAGATAGCTTTCCTTAGGTAGAGTTATTACATTATTTAATAACAATAAGAATATTGAAATGGTAAGTAATCATTGTTGTCTGAATAATGGGACGGACAATTGATCAACAGCAGCAAACTTATCCTTCTCAAGTTCTGCACCGTGAATCAAAACCATTTTAATAATGATTGTATGAGGTGCGAAGTGCTTAACTTTAACAAAACTAACGATGGAGAAGAATTATGGTGAGAGAGCTGTACGTACGTAAATAAAAGTGCTACGTACGTACTGTACGCACCACTTAAATAAGTACTTGGCTATGGAGTATCTGTGTAGTACCATTATTTAGATAACCTTGATGAGTAATTATTTTCTGCAGTGGTATGAAATTTTAGAGGTGTAATTACCATCTGTGGGATTTTAATTTTATCCTCTACACTTGTCTGATAGCAATTTTGATGTCGGCTCTCATCAGGTTTTCATAAAAGTGGTGAATTATTGCTTGTTATGGAATAGTTAAGGAAATACTTCCTATTTTTCTGGTGATATGAATTGTATGCCTTGTTTTTTAGTAATT